GACAAAAAGCAGGCTTTATATAACCATACAGATGTGTACTATATACATTTTTCAATCATACATGTTGTCGAAGTTTTATTTCCACCCAAATGATTTTGTTGTAATGGAAACACAAAGAGAAGAAAGTGACTTCTGTCTGTATTTCATGGAATTACCTCTGAGGGTCCAAACATGGGATTGCATTTGAGATTAATCTACGTTCTAAATTACAATAGGGTTCATTTATAGTCCCTTTTCACAGTATTTGAGTGTGTCCTTAGCAGCAAAGTTATTGCATATATTGTTGGTTCAATCATTTACAGTGACCAGTGTTAAAGATACTCTTAAAAGATATTACTGTCAAGGCACCAGTAGTATGTCATATTAAATATATGTTAAAGTTGAAAAATAAGTAGTCTATAGGTGGTTGCATACACAACGTGTGTGGCATGGGAGGCTGCGGTTGCTGAAAACATGACTTTATTTTCCTGGATTTCCCCACGGGGATTAATAAAGGTCCATTTTATCTTATCTAATCTTTTAAACCATGACGTTAATATGTGTCAACATGACAATATTTTCCTACTTAATCCAAGTAGTTTAGATTGCCTAAACTTTACTAAATGTATAACAGTATGTGTGCAACACTCAGTTGGTGTAAGGTGGCACCAATGCAAGTTCCTAGACCACTTATTCTAAAAAGTATCTTAGTTCAGACTACTGTTCCATTAAATACATTCTCAAACCGTTTGTAAAGATCCAATATAATCAGGGAAGGCAGGTAAAACTCAAATAAGGGTTTATTAAAAGTAAATGACAGTATTGGGGCAGGTTATCTCCATCCACATTACATCAAGGTATGGCACCCTAAAAGAACCAACAAAAACATGACCTTAGCAGAGTCCACCCGTATACCGTAGCACTATACAGCTGTATGTACAAAAAAACTCATAACAAATGTTAAGTGGTCATTTTATTTTTTTCTCAAATATAACACTGTGCTTAATTGGCTTTTACTTGATTATTCTGTGTCTTGTCTGCACACCGTGCTTTGCCTTGAACTCTATGTTTGTTTCTATGTGTGATTCTGACAGGGTACTTTGTGTTTTCTCTACTTTTTATTTCAGAGCAGCATCCAAGCATCTATTTGGATAAATGCTTCCTCTTGGTCTTTTGCAGATGCTGTCATCTAATCTCTCAGCTTTTCAGACTTTCTTGGCAGCAGCTTTTTTTATCAGTCGTTGGCTGTCTCCCGGTGTCTCAGTGCCCAGATAACTCTCACACAAACAGACCACAGACACACACATGAGGTCGAGGGAGCGCCTGCATCAGGGATTCAAGTGTTTTTCTCTTTTATAGAATTTAATTATATAACATTTAATCATCTTTGTGAAAGACTTTCTGTTCAATTTATTTTATTTGAAATGTGGGTGTATGTGTATACTTCTGCACACAACTTTCCTTTGTATTATTTAACCTGGAAACCATCTCTTCCAGGACCGGACTCAATGTCTTCGGAAAATATTTTCTTCAAATGATGATCATCAAAAACTTTGCTTAGTTTTATTCTCTTTCATTTCCTATTTAGTGTCATTCATTCTCGTTTTAAATTGCTTCTGCGATGTTATGGTACAATGAGAGAGTTTAGGAATGTGTTCAATGTAAACATGTTCCGGTTTTCAGCAAAGAATGACTTTATCCCTACTAGTCATTAACTATTACTCCAGTCACCTACAGTATGTAACAACGTTTTTGACGTATTTATCATAATTCATTTTAACACAAAACCACATAAGACTTGTTATTCCAGGCTGCTCAAGGGTCCTCCCCATGTAGGGGTCCCAGATATTAATATTGTTGCACATTTAAGGGAAACCCCTTTAACGCTGTCTGTTAATGTGTTTTCCAGGTGTCAGTGGTACTTTAAGGCCAAGATGACTTCAGAGGAGAAAAGGACCAATTATCAGAATGGACATGGTAAATCTATCAGTCTACCTTTCTTTTCTCACTGTGATCCTACATTTTTTCCAAGAGTCAAGAGTAACTTTCAATTATATCGTAAAGACAGAATGGGGAAATCTGCAAAGTCTACATTTTATATTGTATTGAAATAAAACATTGGTTTAAAGTATGTATTTGTCTGAAATAACGTTTGCAAGACTTCCTTAAGATTTGGTAAGTCAGGTTTCATTTATTTAGGAAAAATTGATTATTTGAGCCACAGTTAGCAGCGAGCAGGCTAACCACCTGCTCCTCTCTTTGCATTCAGCAAGCACATACAGTAGTTTTACTCCATGGATCATTTCCTGTGTTTCTGTGCCTCTGCATATTTTAATTTTGCACAGCAATGACGGCCCACATCACAAAGCGTGTACAGAATGCAAAATATTGACTTGCTATTGTTAGAAATGCTAGCAAGAAGAAGAAGTAGGAAATGTGGCATTTATACGGTAGTTTTAGAAATGAAGATGTCAAACTAGTCAACAGAGCAAGCGCTCCTTCATCTCCTTGTCTCCCTCTCAGCAGCACTCCTCCTCCACTCCCCTTGAGTTTCATTTGATGTTCTACATGAGCGTTTCTTTCTTTCTGTTGTGATTAATCTGGTTACATGCTGCATCCCTGAGCTGTCTACTTCTGCACTCTTCTACCTTTCCGTCTGTTTTGCCTTCTTTTGTTTTTTAATACCCAACTTTTCATTCCTGTCGTGAAAAATGGAAATGAGAGTTGCAGGATGGAAAAAAAGGAAGATGCTTAAAAGTGAGCGTAGAGGCAAAGATTGGAGCGGGACAAAAGAAGATTGGAAAAACAGAAAGGAGAGAGAAATGAGGGAATGAAGGGCAACCGAAGGCAAGGTAGAGGAATAGAGGAATGAGGTGACTTTAAGAGAACAATTTAATGAAGGTTTAGAAAACAACATACATATATCCAAAGGTTAGAGAAGAAATAAATACTGAATATGTTTTTAGCTGGCTAACAAGCTGCCACGTAGATTTATCATATTCAAGATTCAAACAGATTTTCTATGTCGTTTTATGTGTTTTCAAAACCCTGTACCTCTTGTCTAAAGTTTAGAGGTGTTTAGCAGAAGCTACAGGAGGAGAAAGGGCTCCTCGGGTTTGCTGGTGTCTATTCATGCATCAGAGACGACCCATTGTCGTTTCTGTTTTCTGTATGGATTCCCTGAAGGAGAAAAGCTGCCTTTGTCTAGCCCCCCCCCCCCCCCCNTACTTTTGTTTGGCCTTAGGATGGCGATAATTGGATGACCATTTTAGTTTTCACTTCATTTCACTGTAAATTGCATGCAATGATGAGCTGTTTTGTTTTGTTTTAATTTTGTTTTGTTTTAATTTTGTTGTATGTATGTTTATGTATGTTTTGAGTGTGTGAGGACCCCAGGAAGAATAGCCAATGCTCATGCTATTGCTAATGGGGATCCTAATAAAGACAAAGACAAAGACATGCACTCGCATGAGTAAACCCTTCATATACAAATGTAAGCACTCAGTGCACACACCTCCTGAACTTTGAGGTTGCTGATTGCATTAATATTATTAGCTGTTTTCACTCACGCATGAGATTATGTTGTTCTATTTTTGCTAACATTTCAGACTACCTAGCACATTTTAAATCACTATTAAGTGGGTGGTCATTAAGGATTAGCCATGCATTACAACGTATGTAATATAAAAGTGCTGGAAGCTGTACGGTGCTTTACACATAACCCCTCCAGCCCTATTTCATCTCACACCACGTTTTGTTCAGTTAAAAAAAATGTCTTGATTAAATGCATATTTTAGTCATTTATGTTCTCTGTCATCATGAGTTGCGCATTTCAATAATGTTTCAATAATGTGAGTAAAATGAGAGTTGGTTTACAAATATCCCTCTATTGCAGAAACACCGTTTTATTTTTGCTTATGCACGTTTTGCACATTTCTTAATGTTAGCAACAGTAAGTCTCTGGCTAACAAGCTCAAACCCATACAGCCCACAGCTCTCATGTCATATAGCCTCAGACCCCTAAAACGAGATTCTCCACCAGCACACTTAAAACCCTAAAACCCCTATTGCTAACTCCCCATACGTCCCCAAGATAAAGTGAAAACTACAGTACAAACAGATTTCCTAGAGACACTAGAATCAATTGGAAAAACGCGTCAGTGTCAACATTTTACTTACTGAATACACATGAGAGAAGCAGGCCTACATGTATATCCACATAATGAGTCAGCTCTGTAATATTAAAGATATAATATACAATAATGGCTTTCGTGGCAGTTACATCTGCTGACCTCTCCTGGGAGCTCAGCGCAATTATTTACCCTGCAGAAATTCATAGAGCAAAGCTAATGCAATTCATCCAAGAAAAGAAGATGTGGCTTTCTCAACTTATTTTCAATTAAAGATGATCTTATGGGAGAAAGAAATAGCTGTGTGGATCTTTTATCCAAGTGACTTGAAATACCTACAACCTAGTTTGAAATGCAATAATTGAGTGTCAGCATGGATGTGTGGTAATTATTGCTGACAAGGTGGACGGGTGTTAATCTACTGTTTGCATTTCCATATACAAACCTGGTCAACCCCTGAATTTCTTGTTATGCTATACAGCCTCATTGTATAGTGTCGGCATCATTGAAAAACTCCTTACTCTGTATTCAGTGAATGTTCTTGTCAAACTAAAAGCTTGCTGAGGTCAACTGGTTCTCCTAGATCAATAAGACTAAGAGTCTGCAGCCACGCTAGCTCTGTGAGGCTATGCTCAAGCTAAAGAGGGACCTTGCCTCTTAAGAAACAATTAGCTTTTGAATTCAAATGTTTGTATATTCGCACATATTTAAGGGACAAGGCTAAGATTGTTAAAAATCAAGTATCAAGGGTGCGAACTGTTAACATCAAAGATATAAGTTGATTTTACTTTATTCACAGGTTAATCAACAAAGGTGGTAGGACTCATATAATTATTGTGACTTTACAGTAAAGACATTTAAGCTTACGCTGCATATTTTGTGTTCCAACAGGTCCGTCTCTTGTTGGGACTCTGAAGAAGGACTGGGCCTCTCCGAACAGCATTGCTCTCTCGTGGCAGCAGCCGGAACAAACACCGCAGGGCATCCTCGACTACGAGATCAAATATTATCAAAAGGTACAGTTACTTTTGCTGATGGACAGGTCCTGTCTAGAATATAAGAGCAGTAGTGGTTATAGATCAAGCAAGTGTGTGATATATGTTGAAGAACAATCATTTGAAATATTTGAGTTTAAACAAGAACATCTAGCTTAGACCAAAACAGTTCTTGGTTCCTTGCTTACTAGCTAACTAATTGTCACATGACACACTGTTGACATTAGACTTCATTCAGAGCCGGCCCGACCCAGTAAGCGACATAAGCGGCCGCTTAGGGCCCCGCAGCCACTAGGGGCCCCCTAGCAAAAAAAAAAAAAAATGCAAAAAAAAAAAATTTATGAAAAAAATAATAGTAATCTCAGTACACCGTCGCCGTGATAAGTATATTTAATTAATGTTGTTGATATGCCTAGATTTCCTACTCTCAAAGTCATGTATTATATGATTGAGTCAATCATATAATACATCCACCGTGCTTTACCTGAACCTCAGATTGACTCAATCATATAATACATGACTTTGAGAGTAGGAAATCTAGGCATATCAACAACATTAANGTGTGCCTTGGCAGTCACTGTACTTTTAATATAATGTGACCCCAAATAAATAAAGAATAAAAAAAAAAATTGAAATTGTGGTCTCTATAATCACACAGATAATAAAGTTACTGATAAACTATACAGGGAGCATTGTTAGACATTGTATAGATTTTCATTTCATGTAAGGTTTGAGGATCTGGGGATTTACAAAGCTTATAATGCTACATGTCAATCACACTTAAGTTATGGGAATATTATTTCATGAATATCCAAGGACAATTTGTGTTAAGTCAATTATAACTTTTCAATAACCACAGATCAGAATATTGTAAACAGTGAACTTGAACAAAGTATTTCACACAATTAAAACTCACATTGTTGCTTTGCCTGTATTTTAGATTTTCTGAGGCCATTTTGTTGGTTTTCACAGCTGGAGATTTAACGAGTAGAAACAATAATGTCTACAGCCACATTAGCGGCTCTGTGAGATTGTGGACTTGCATAAAAGTGCTTATATTTAATTCAGGTGCTAATGAATATATTGTTGTTTAAAGACAGTAGGATTCATCATCTTGGGGAAATTAAAGACTGTAAAAACCTTCATTGGCAATTAATTTGTAGGTTTTTTATAGCTATTTCAGTCTCGACCAAAGTTGTGAACTGACTTACAGGAACATTTCTATCAGAGTCGGCATGGCTAATAACAGAAAAACATTTTACAATGACATTTTATGAACTTTTGCAACATCGCTTTTTTTTTTTAATTAACCCCTTTCAAATTACACACTGTCATTTGATACAAATCTATTGTAAAAAAAAAAGATAAATATTACAAACGTAAAGATAAATAAATAACAGCTCTGCATTTTTTATGTTAAGCCTGCAGCTTGAACCAGAGTTATGTCATTATATTTAAGGTATTTTGTAAGCTTCTAACATTTCCCCTAACCTCCTCCTGGCATGTTTGACTTCCTGTGTAATACAAAATAAGTTTGAACTTGATCTTTTATTCATGAGCGCAAATCCTTCTGTTACTTCTGTACTAACAATCAGATCCAACATGTATCACACATACGTGTAATTCTCTTTTTTATCTGGACCGATAGCATATATTAATGTAGCCTCCATACTCTAGATCTCCATATCATATCTGAGAGTCTATGGGTAAGTAGAGATCCATGTATCTTTGTAGGGAGCAGCGGTAAGCGGCTGCCCAGGATGAGATAGTGTTTGGCTGCTTTTGCTGCTTGGCTGGCCTTTTGCCTTGGAAAGCACTTCTAAGCAATTCCCAAACAGCACCAATCCCCCTCAAACCCTGGGAGCTTGGTGAATGTGTGTGTGTGGGGGTCTGTGTATAGATGTGTACGAGTCTGTGTGTAAGGGGTTGAAGGGATTACGGTGGAGCTTTCATACTCAGCGGAGAGAGGGATGGATCTGCTTCCTCCATGGCCCCTTCAATCCCTGACCACAGCCCTGGGATCAGCGGGTTGCTCAGCCACACTGAATCCACAGCTTTAAACTCCCCCTCTATCAGAACCATGTCCTCTGAACCTCTGACCTTGAATGCTCTTTTCCTTTCCCTCTCCCTCTCCCTTTTCATCCTTTTGGTATATCTCCCCAGCATTTCTGTTGCACCCCTCCTCTCTCTCCGAGGTAGGCTTTTGATGTGAGGAAACAGTCAGGGAGCAGGTTAAAGGGCAGCGATTTTAACAGATATAACGGAAAATAAACTCAGAATTTCCTCAGTGGAGCGGGACGTGAATTGAGAAGTCAATATTGAGGTGTGCCGCAGTTCTAGAGGTTAGAGAACTCGTCTTGTGAGGGGAATATTGTGGAAACAACATGAACGAGTCTCTGACATCCTGTAGGAACGATCAATGAGATGCCTCAGGAAAAGGTAAAACACCAAGAGGGTTTCAGCGTTCACGATAAACTCAAATGAAGGTTCACAAAATGATTGAGCGGCCTCTTAACCTACAAATAAAGTGTTGAATATTAAGTACATTGTATTTAAAACATGAGCTTTTGTGAGATTTGAGAGCTTTTTAATTGAGTCAGTAGGAAAAATGACATAGTCACGCAGTTACTACTATATCGTTATTTTTGTTTCTCTGAAGACCATATTCCCGACTACTTATTTTGCATAAGTGTTGTTGACAAACAACACGAGACAACCATTGTGATGTCAACAGTACTCACATCCTGATTGGACATCTCCCAGTATGGCCGCTCCCCGTATGACATTACTTCCCACATGACAATGCCATAACTCCACGCGTCGCTTGCTGAGGAGAACTTCCTGTATGAGATGGCCTCGGGAGCTGTCCACCGGATGGGGATCTTACCACCCTGTACACACACATAAATAAAACAGGTTAAATTCAATCAAAGTAATTCTGTTACGCATGCTCTCTTATTCTGACCCTTTCTGTGTTTATCACCTCACCTCACCCTCTTTCAACCACAGTGTTGTGGAGTAGACAGTTAAACTGCAACTCTACAGACACAGCATTTCCTTCACACAATAACCTCAATACAAACCAGGAAATAGAGGTCACTGTGGGCTCAGACAGGTTTACAGAAAAGCATCATTTCAGTTTTTTGCCATTTAAGGCAACTTTATTTCCCCCTGATTTGGAGGGAGAATTCAGGACAATTATGATGTGATGCATCAATTGGCTGATGTCTTAAGCTTATATTGATAGCATTGGGGTGTTTCTCAATCTCGAGTACGCTTGCTTAGTAGCACATGTCTTTCTAAGCATCTTGCTTCAGAAGCGAGGAAAGAACACTTCCTGGCATTCGGAAAACAAAGAGTGGAACAGGCTAGCAAGTGTTGAGGTGTGCGTCATATGAGAGGCCCCGCCTTACATTTTCCGCCACAGATTTGGGGAAATTGGTCCGTGCGCAAAGCATTGTGGGGATTTTAAGACCGCAGAGTTTACACATGTGCAGCCTCGAAATTTCTCCAAACGAAGTACGCCGGGCTGTAATTCCAAGTATGCTGGACATTGGAACAGTACTTCGGCGGCACTCGATGACGTAGTATGCTTGCAATAGTGGCTCTGCAGCAGCTTTACTCGACATTGAGAAACACCCACGGTCTACAAATAAAATCTGTGAATGGGCAATTTAAGTGTTCCAAGTGCATTGCCAGGCTGACAAGACTTTAATCAAACGATAATCATACTTTGGAGAATAAAAAGGATAAGCATCAACAGCAGCAGGTAAGTGTTTTTGTTATGCAGTGAAACCATAGAGCAGCTGGCAGGGAGTGTCTTGTAAACTCGCAGCGCATGTCTGTAAATTGAGTTGCTGTTTGCTGGGACTCCTGTAACTTTCATAGTTCAAGCCTTCTAGCTCCACTCCTAATGAGGTTCTCTCACAAAGCCAGGAGAAGTCAGTGAACTGTCAGCGAGCATGGCTGAACTGAGAAAAACTTGTGTCCTTGTTATTACTGTTCTGGTGCTGTCACAACTGACATGTGCATTGTTTTAAATAAATGCATTGTTCTAGTATCCCATCCGCCGGATGTCGTATATCAAATTATAGTTACTATGGTTGAAGACACTAAGGGTTAGATCGTTTTTTTGAACAAGGACAGATGATCTAACAACCACCACATTTATTTCACATTGTCAAAGTTTTAAGCAAGAAGACAGCAGAATAAAGTAAAGTAAAACAAGTAAGCATGTAGAATAATAAAATAAGTATGAGATGTTAAGTGCTGTAGCTATTTGTACTTATTTGTACTGTGTCCTGTAGCGCTAAAACAGGCAAAGCTTGCTTTATAAGAAAAGGAAGACAACGGTTATTTTTGGTGGACTTTCAATATTATCATCATAACATTTTGAAATGCAAATACAGAATTCATTTTGCCGAACTACGGGTTTCAGCACATTGCCTGCCTTATATCCCTGAATCCCCAAGCACAGGTTTTTTAAGATGAGCAGATGGTTTACCTTGCATATTACAACAAATGAATTATTCAATGTAATCCCAGTGAAAGTATTTATCATAAAGGTGTTTTATTTGAATGAATTCAGATGTGTTAAATCTAGTAATAAGTAAGCAGCGGCTGTTTGGTTTGCGAGGTGTGTGTGAGGTGTGTACCGTGGTGGTGTAAGCAGCTTCCGGGTCGTCCTCCAGAACTCGGGACAGGCCGAAGTCTGACACTTTACACACCAGGTTGCTGTTGACAAGGATGTTTCGAGCTGCCAGGTCTCGGTGAACGTAGCCCATGTCAGACAGATACTTCATGCCCGAGGCGATGCCACGCAGCATGCCAACCAGCTGGATGACAGTGAAGTGACCGTCGTGTTGCTGACAGGGAGAGCAGGACAGAGGGAAGAATCAGAAGTCATGGCAGAAAAGCAGAAATAGCAACAAGAGAAAGAAGGAGGGTCGATAGCATAAACAAAAAAAGACAAAGGATAACACTGATAGAATCATAATGGTATGCATTGAGCTACATGATAAACAATAGGGAATACTGACAGTGATTTTGTCGAAAGAAACAATTGCATGTTAAGAATCATGCTGGCAGTTTATTGATAGGACAATAGCTCTTATTTAAGCTTCTAGGAGCCAACAAGTGACACAGCCTGTATTACTCATTTTGAAATACTTGGCCCATAGCTATGGTGCAGTATAGTTAAACTGTGATCAAAGGTGATCTTGCTATCCTGCGGGGAACAAACATATGCAAACCAGCGTGGTAACTCCCAGATTCCAAGGACTCAATACTACAATTTCTCTTATTTATTTGACCCACATCACCGATATTAATATGTGATATTATCGGAGCATTTTGAAAGCTGAATAATTTGTCCTTTTTTGGAGATGCAATTGTGATTTTACATTAACAGTCAGAGAGAAAGACCTTCAGTATAGTTATGGCTTGTCAGCATTTGTGTTATTATATCCCACTGTTCTTATATATAAGACTGTAACCACCTGAGGCAGGAAACAGATATATTCATACTTGAGTTCTCCGATCACATCAACACTTACCCTCAGAAACGAGTCCAGTGATCCATTTTCCACGTACTCCACCACAATCATCACAGGCCTGCCTGCAAACACACAAACACAACACACACCGCTTATTTCTCCAAAGTTATTTATTTTGCTGACATGGAAAGTAGAAGCTGATTGAGGGTTTTGACGCCTAAGCCATAATCATTTTCTGAACAAATACTATGACGCACAGTTTCAAAGCTCATAAAGTAAATCATCAGTAAATATTGTGATTGATTTTTTATCAAAACTGATTTTTTTTCCTGCTAAAATTCATCATATTTTGAGCATAATAAATGAAATAACTTGTGATTTTGAAGCACATGAATGGCTGCATGTGTGAACAACACACTAATATCCCTTTATAATAAACTCAGTATCAGGGCTTCTGTGAAATCACCAGTGTAAAACTGCAATTATTTCCATCATATTGGATGGGCATGATGCTGAATCAGTTATTATGATTATTATGCAAAACACCTAAATTTTCAAATGTCAATGCGTCTTTTATCATCTATTATGTACTGTTAGGATCTAAACTTGTGCACACGGAACAACATGACAACTTGGGGCAATTCAGATCAGCATGTTATATTAATGACTCAAACAATTAGTCAAGGGACACCGGCTTTCACCTCTGATGGAGCACAAGATATTGTTCTGATTCATGTAGGTGGGACAAAATCACACTGTGTAGATGTGTGTGTATGTGTGTGTGGCTGGGCAATAGAAAACAACAATATGTTTATGGAAACACACAGACCATTAGCTGATGATTGAAGCATCGAGTGAAGACGCTCAAATCATATAATTTCCGAAGGGACGTGTTCAGTATTCAGTCCATGTATTACATGAAACAGGTGCAAACACAGTATCTCTTTCAAAATATTATTGTTTCCCCACGGAAGATCCCTACGGTGCTACAGATCGACTGCTCTACAACTGGGCGGCGGTTGTCCACGCCTGTGTGAGCTGTAAAACATTCAGAGCTGCTGGAAAGAGAAATACAAATCTTACTGTAGTGAAGAAACACCATGACATCACACCCCAGATTCAAGGAGCTTTTTTAAATCACGTGGGGTTGTGAAATATCATATTGTGGAAGATGGAATGCCACTTCTAATGTCACTGGCAGGATTTGTAAAAGTGTTCCTATAATACATCAGAACGGCTTTATAGGCTGCAGGATGTTTGCGGTTTTATAAGAGCACAATGTGTGATAGCGGTGTCACTTTACTGTATAGAGTAAACACTTGTGATCCGGACACAAAGAGATATAAAGAGAAACAGCTCGTGACATGTCAAATCAAGTCTAAATGGCATCTGTCACCATCCACTTTCTCCCATCAATGGTTTTATGATTGCTGTGACCGACAGGCAAGAGCTTCACTGTGAGTGTACTGCTTCTGTGTATCAGCCTTTGGAAATCAGACACTAGTTTTAAACTGGGATGTTTTGAACATCATCTTTGAATAAAGATTTAGTTGATATAAATAGTAATATTTAAGATTTTTGATGTGACAAATTACATTTGATTAGAAAGAGTCCAAACTGACAGACAATCATGCACATATTTCTTCTTTTTAATCTGCAAAATGGTTTCATCATACCCTTCAAATGTGCAGATACTTCTCCCCAACACAAATCCAGGAGGGATAGGCAGGAAATGATTCGATCAAGCTTGGCTTTCCTGAGCTAATTAGCAATGACTGAAAACAATATATACTTATGCAGTGCAGCGCCTGAACAAAAACAAACGCACCTGTTCACCAGAGTCAAATGTGTCACCTGTTATTTCAGAGCAGGTATAGCAGTCAGTCACAGCACAATACTCACTATAATTAGTCTCTGAAGAAAAACAACAGATGTGGGGAGTTAAAGATTGAGAAAGTGAGCTAAAAACAAAAGACGGGCAGAAAATATACTTTTAAAGAACAATGTCTCTCTATTTACCCCACTGTCACATCTTTTTCCCCAGTACATATAAGTACTGCTAACTGCTAAGTACTGTACTTAGTACGTTAGTACAAAGGAGAACACATAATCTGAGTAATTACACGTGTAATTGACTGTGATCTAATACTTATCATCTATTTTTATGTCAAAGTACTGCTTACAAGTTAAAAATAAACCTATAAGACGTGCCAATATGGGTTAAACTGACATTCACACTGGATTTTCTTTTTAGCTTTTAAGCTAATCAAGGAAAACCATTAAAGGAAAAAGGGTTTATTATGATTCTACAAGATTAAACAAACACAACAAATCTGCAAAAAGGCCAGTTACAATATGTCGAGTGTGGTGTGATATCAACAGCTGTGGTATTCAGAAATCACACAGCTCTCTATTCAGTGCAGCCAGTCAGGGCTGTTGTTAATGAGATGAAAACCGGCCACTCACAATATTTGTATTTATTTTTCCTCATACGATGTTGCTCAGTGTTTTGTGGGATTTATTTTACTCAATTGCTTCAGAGATGTTTGACTGTAAAATATACAGTTTAATATATTGGTGCTAAACATCAGCAACCAGCAGCTTTTATGTAATAATGGCTGTATTGGCCTTTAAAGACCCTTATCAGCCGAATCCTTGTCAGCAGGGTCAGAGCTGAGGAGTGTCCTCTATCTACATTCAGGGGGGGAAAGGGGGGGTAAGAAAGTCTTAAGGGGACACATTTATATTCACAGCGATGTCTCAGTTTATACGAATCCTTGTAAAAACAACCATATGTTTCGCTGGGTGAACCCTGTAAAACACAGCTCATTAACAAGTCTACACACACACACACACACACACACACACACACACACACACACACACACACACACACACACACACACTTTTTCTTTATCTATCAGAGTAACTGAGTGAATGTCCATAGGAATATGCACCACATAGTAGAGGATTGTACAAAAGAAGAAGTAGAGCAGCTTCAGGCAGTCATCAACAGTTTTGTTGTTGCAGCATCAAAGAAATGCATGCTTCAATTCGGCTGTGAAAATGTTCACGTTTCTTTTTTTTTATAGCCACTTCAAAACGTTTTCTCAATATGTTTTTCCTTTAACATATATAAATATGTTTTTCCAATATAAGCAAAATAAACTTGTTTGGTTTCATCAGTGGTAGATAAATTAGTGCTGAGGGTCTATTGCTAAAAATCATGTAATCGTATGCACAATCTTAGTTAAATTGCATGTTCCTCAACACTACTTACTTTTGGTAACCACCCCCTCCAGCCTGATGATGTTGGGGTGGTCAAACTGGCCCATGATTGACGCCTCGCGCAGGAAGTCCCGCCTCTGACGTTCCACATAGCCGCCCTTCAGGGTCTTTATCGCCACGGCGATTTCCTTTTTCCCTGGGGTTCTGAGGCGCCCGCTGCACACCTCGCCAAACTCACCTAACACACACACAGAAAAAGAACCACAGTGAGGAGTCTATCACACACACCATCAGCAGGCAGTCAGTCCTCCACCGGGGGGCACTGTTGCAGTTCCCATCTAAACTCCAGCATTATTGCCTCTTCTCTGATTAGTTCAACTCCATGAAATTGTCCCCTTCACTTTCTAAAAAAAGCCTTAAATCTATTCTTATACGTTCTTTTGTTCTCTAAACCTTTTTATGCTTTAATATTCCTACAGTCTGCTCAGAGGAAATGACAGTGAGACACTGGGAAATGGAAAAAGCCTCCTCTTTAGTGAGTACAATGGAGAGGAATGAAAATAGATCCTCTTCTATGGCACATTTTAAGCTATTGTTATTCTTACCAACACAAAATGATCCACTTTCACCACATGGCGGAAGGTAGAGAGTAGAGGTAAGTGGATGAGTGTATTATGGTGTGTGTGCAGGCGTGTGTGTTATACCGGCTCCGATCACCCTCTCGATGCGGATCCTGGAGGGGTCGATCTCCTTGGTGAACTCGTGGACGGCCTGCGTGGGGTCCTCATACGTGTCAGGGTCCACATAGGTCTTTATTCCAGGGAACGGGACTGTGAGGACAGAGAGTAATATATAGGGACAATGCTCAAATTTGATGAAGATTTTGTAAATAAACATACATTTGAACTTCGAAATAAAGGATGTATGAAAATAGGCTGTCACTGCCTTTAACCTCGACAGTACTGCTACTGCTTCACCACCATAACCACTACTTCTCCTACTGCTGCTGCTGCAACAAATAGCCTTCCAACCAACCAGGGGTACAGAGGGGAAAAGTGTGCAATTTGAAATACTACAAAAAATACGATTTGATCAACTTATATATTAACATATTTTGGTTATGTGGAAAATAAACACCCTACCAGGAAATTTGGAGTTGACCTTAATAAATGTATTGTAAAAAAACAACAACTTCCAGCTACAATAAGCTGCCTGCACAGCTTATTGTACGCAGACCAAAAAAGTATAAATGTGTAACACCAAAGCATCATCTAGACAACAAAGATCTGCCAAGTGAGCAGCCCTGCATTAAGCGACAACACAAATGAATCGATATGGTCTCTCTTTAGACAAATAGCTTATAAGCNCAATTTCAATTTTTTTTTTTATTCTTTATTTATTTGGGGTCACATTATATTAAAAGTACAGTTTTTCAAATCATATATTTTTAGAGACCCGAAAATGACAAATGAAATAGCAAACAAAATTTGTCGAAATAAAAACGAAAAAGTACACAGGGGTTGTTTGAAATCGCAAATGTCTACACATGTACATATGCATATATTTCAACATACATATATACATACAATACACATACACACATACATGTGTCGATACAGTACATACACACCTATATTCAATTGGTGTATAGAAACACAGTCAAACAAGGGATGGTCGTCTATGTAAATTCTCCACTTTTTCCATATTTCCTCAAATGTGTTTTCCTGAAGCCTCATTGAGAAAGTGATTCTTTCCATAACATACATTTGATGGATTTTGTTACACAATTTCAATTTCAAGTCTCTAGCTAAAACCTTCCAACCAAACAGCTAAATTTTTCAAGCAATTTAATTTCTAATAGAGCAGCCACATTTGGGCGTCTCCCTTCAACAGGTGTGATGTTCTCTGCAGGTGATCCTGTCCATTGAAGAGGGATACAGGCTGCCGGCTCCGATGGGCTGCCCCGTGGCTCTGCACCAGCTCATGCTGCACTGCTGGCAGAAGGAGAGGAGTCATCGGCCCAAATGTACCGATGTTGTTTCCTTCTTGGACAAACTGATCCGTAACCCCAGCAGCCTACTGTCACTGGTAGAGGAAATTCAGAGGTACGATTGAAGACTTCCTAGTGTCATGAAATACTTTGTAAGGTTATTTTGGCCGAGATCACAGCGGTTAAAGCAATAAAAGTTAAAACTAACCATGAGCTGTGATAGAACATCGACCCTAAATCCAGGCTATGTTGAATATTTTGTGAAAGTTTATAAATTGCTCTTCCTCCTACGTGTTAAAATATTTGTCACTCAGTTTAAGCCAGTAGGGTATGTCCTCCATCTCTGAGCAGCTCTTGAAATACTGGCACGATCTGACATTATTATTTTTTTGTTTTTCAAGTCTACCAGAGTCTCCGGGGGAGGAAATGGACTACCCAATGTTCATCTCCATCGGCGACTGGCTGGACTCCATTAAGATGAGTCAGTACAAGAGCAATTTCATGGCAGCTGGCTACAACACATTGGATTCTGTGGCAAGGATGAGTATTGAGTGAGTAGCAAAGCTAAAGCATACCCATTATAAAAGGGCAAGAAATCTAATAGAATCAGCATTTTATAACAGCAGTGTTGCTTAAAGGACACTCAAAAGTCACCAAAAAAGTTCAATTTACATGTTACGAGGACAACTCCGACTGGGAATGTCTCCTGTGAAAGCAATGGGATGCTTTTGTTAAAGGTCCCCTATTATACTGTTTTTCATCAATATAGTATAGGTCTCATATACAAAACATGTCTCTGAAGTGTTTGGCTCCAAATACCAAACAGATCATGCATTGTAGCATTACCCATAATCCACTCTGTTTCAGCCCTGTTTCAAAAGTACTGATTCTCTGTCTGTTACTTTAGATGAAAATAAGGAGCCACTCCCCACACTACTCTGAGAGAATTTGGTTAGAAAGAACACAAGGTGGCTCTAGGAGGAGATTCAGGTGATAAGGGGGGGGGGGTTAACTTGGTTGGTTATTGGCTAATGGTTACTCAAGCCAAAATATCATTATGATATCATATAGTGGCCAAAACCTGATCAGCTCATTTTCAGACAGGTTTTTATATAAATGGATCAGAACAAGAAGAGAGCGAATCTTTTTTCCTGAAACTTTCAGAATATCTTTCCACAGAGGAGACACATGGTGATGTATAAAAGACATGAAAAAGTAGATTTTGCATAATAGGTGACCTTCAACATTTTTGCTTTTCGCAGCATTATGTGTATTTACAATGTATATTTTTGAACTAATTTCCTTAACCTTATATGACTAAGGAAAATGAAGCGAAGCTTAATGGCACATTTGTGATCAAATCAGCTTTTACCAGACAGTGTATACATTTTCTAAAAAAGCTAATGAAAAGTCCTAGCAAGTAAGACTCAAAGCATTGTGTGTGTGTGTTTGTATCTGTGTTTCCCTCTCGGCCTAGAGATGTGAGGCGTATAGGGGTGGAGCTGATCGGCCACCAGAGGCGGATCAGCAGCAGCGTACAGACCCTCCGCCTTCAGATACTGCACGAACAGGAGAAGGGTTTCCATGTATGAGGACACCCTATATCACAGCCTGGGATGGACAGATAGACAGATCAGAGGGAAGTGAAGTGTAGACCGCCGGACAGACAGTCTGCAGCCTGTGCCTGAGTCTTAAGGCCTCGTACAGGAGGTCATTGGACAGACTCAACAGCAGACGGCCCCCCGGTCTCCCTCACATCCAGTAGTTACAGACTTTTTCCTACTATACACCCCTCCCTCAGTATTCCTGGCTTTAAAGACTGGCCCAGGCCCTCACTTAGGGGAATGTAATGCCTTGTTGCAGCAGCAGTACTTTGTGTGTGGAGCAACAATATCTAGAAATGTAGATTTGCAGACCTAATCTACTGAATATCTTTTGACTTTTTTTCTTTTTCGCTCGGAGTTATGTGCTCATGTAGTTGCTATCGGGTGTGCAATCTAAGAGTTTATAGAAATAATATATCCTTAATATCTTTTATGTTGGAGTTTGGATAATTTTGTCATGAAATTATTATTTGCAATTGTTTTAGTTTACCCTCTCTCCAGAGAATCTGGTATGCTAATACTTGAAGAAAGAAGTAAGAAGCAAGTGACGGCAATTTCATGAATGTTTAAAAAAGTGTATAGACAATTAATCGATAATTATTGTAATAACCTAATATCTATATATGTGCAGTCCTGTATGTGAAAGCCCTAGTAAATCTGGATCTTATTTAAGATGTTTTTATTTAAGATGTTTAATTTTAGATTTGTATCCAAATCAGCAATACAGTATTATGCAGTCACCTCAGTATCTCAGAGAGATGAAGAATTGTGCAATGAGAGCACTCTTGTTGACATGTAAACATGAGGCTCACTCCTCATCCTCCGCCTGATTTTATTCTCACATGCTCAGCTTGCAGAACTGGATCTGTTGCCTTCAGATGAATAACCATACAAGTCTATTCTGACAGCTGTGCGATAAGCCTGATTTATTTTGGATTGTGAATGTTATACATTGCCTGAAAGTACACAAACTCCACTGTCTTAACATATGAATGTCACAGAACTTAGATATAGATAGGAGAGTTTTGAAAGTGTCGGGGAGCTCAACGTGGACTTAGATGGTTTTTCAGAATTTGCCGAAATGCTTTCATATACGGTACATTCAATGTTTTTTTTTGCCTGCGCACACACACTGATTTATTAATTCTCCTCCAGCCTGTTATTACTTTGTGGCCATGTAAAGGTTGTGGCAGTATGGGAAATTAGTGTACATAGACGTGAAATGAAAACCGTTGGATTTGCAGTAGATGATGTCAAGTTGTCCGATGTTTGCCATTAAAATTCAAAATAATTCTTAATTCGCTAAGTCAGTGGTGAGTAGGCAGTGCTGCAGAATATAAGTAGTTAGTAGAGTGGGAAGCAGCGGGAGTAGATAAAGCCTGGGGATTTAGATTTGTGAGCTCAGAGCTGTCCAGCAGGGAAAAGTGAATGACTTTTAGGACAGCAGAGGGAGAATGAACACAAACAGCAGCATCATAACTCATGTGTCATTCAGCAGTAACAAACACATGCACACACACACACACACACACACACACACACACACACACACACACACACACACACACACACATGAAAAGAATGCCTTCAGTCTGATAACCATGCAAGATAGAAACACTTTAAAGTGGTTAATAAGGACCCAGGACCTAGCCCTTACTTTGAGTATTTTTCCATATTTAAGAGAGCTCTGTTTTATTCTTACAAAGGAGGTATTGTTGAATAATGTCAAAGGCCAACTGGATCCAGAGATCTGTACCTTTCGGTCACAGCGTAGTAATGCATCCAGGCCAGTAGGAGTAGGAAAGGTGCACGCACACATCCAAACACACACATATTTGCACACACACATACTCCGGTCACCACCCCTCTACAGAATAAGGAGAATATCAGATGCTGTTTGTTTAGCATGTTCTACTGCTGAGCAATGTTAGAACGTTCTTTTGTACAAAGTACAAGTATACTTATAATTCTTGTATTTTATTTTTCTATAATTTCCAAAGAGATGTTGTAGATATTGCACACTGTAAGAAGCAGTTACTGCGAATATTTATTTGCAAATAAAGATGAACAGTTCTGGTGGTTGACTGCTCATTTACTTTTGTTTCCATTAATTAAAAGAAGTAAGTGCTAACTTGTTCAGGTTGCAAAGTGTCTTCCTTGAAGAAACATATGAGGCAGTCGAGAAGACACATCTCCCATCTGTTTGATTAGCGTTTTATGTAAAATAATACAGTATATGATTTCTACCATCTGTTAAACCCGGCAACTTGCTGGTTGTCCTTCACCGAACTGATAACCGAAGGAGGGAGCTGTTGGATGACTGACAAGCTTCTGCCACGTGAGGAGTCCAACTTCCTGCTATCATTCTGGAAATTCATGATTTTACAACTCCAGAGCTTCAAATAAGTCCATAAACATGTATGAGTTTATGGTGTCCTCATTTTACTCTGTGTGTGTGTGTGTGTGTGTGTGTGTGTGTGTGTGTGTGTGCACGCACTACTCTGTACTACTCTGTCAAACATTAATTGAATTACAGCAAATGACTTCAGACTTACACAACAGTTATATAGTAGCTCCATTTAAGCTAAGGTACAGGTTAGAGTAGTGAATCAAATGCATCAGGGTGGGGTCCTGGAAAGCTGCAGACTCCATGGTCAGGTTGGCGGGAGGTTCACAGAGCTTAATACGCCCTAATAGGATTACCTGTCACAAGCCGGGATGCCCAGCTTGCATCTCAGCTGGTTACACTATTCACAGCAAGCACAGGGAACACACTGTCCACGGCTATGTTTATCTTTATTGTTCGTTTCCATGAGAGTTTTCAAATTTAATTCATTTATTTTTCCAGTAGCTAAACTCTCTATGTGGTGATGTGTTGACATTTACATAGTGTGGCTTTAATCAAGTCTAATGGGGCTGCTGGATAAACTCTCGGGCTGGCTGGGCCTGAGGAAGAAAGAAGTCAACGTTTTGTGTTTGGGGCTCGATAACAGCGGCAAAACCACCATCATCAACCAACTCAAACCATCCAGTGTAAGTATAAAAACAAGGCCTTATTGTAAGAATAAAGTTCTTTTGTAAGGACATTTGATACATTTTTGTTGTTGGTGTACCATGATTATTTAGGGGAAATATTGTGACCTGGCCTGTCAAATATTTCACTGCAATCATTCATGGATTGCTTGTTTTCAGCATTCGAATCATTTAGGCCCATTGTCAGGAGAATGGAAACATGCTAGTCAGGTAAAGCCCACGTCATACTTTCCTACTATGTTCTTGTTGACAAAGTTTTGCCATTACTTGTCTGTTTCTGTGGGTATGTTTGTGTGTGTTGATGAATGCAGACGCAGACACACGAAATAGTCCCAACAATTGGCTTCAACATTGAGAGGTTCAAGAGTTCAAGGTAGAATTTTTATTGACATCTAGAATCTATATTATGTACATTTGACGAGTTAATACATTAAATAGAAAAATGGCTAATGCTCCATTATGTATCATTTAAGCTCTCTGTTTTCTCCCTCTCTGTCTGCAGCCTGTCATTTACAGTCTTTGATATGTCTGGGCAGAGCAGATATAGAAACCTATGGGAGCATTATTACAAGTAAGAAACACAACATTTGCTCTTTAAATCTATACAAAATAACCGTAATTTATCAATCCTGACTTCTTCTTCCTCCTCAGAGAAAGCCATGCCATCATATTTGTCATCGACAGCGGTGACAAACTGAGGATGGTTGTTGCCAAAGAGGAGCTCGACACTCTACTCAATCATGAAGGTACACATTTATGATAATTATTTTGTACAAAGGAAATACTGAGACTATTTTTCCTGCAGAAAGCCTGATTTACATATACTGTATGCCTTATCCATAAGGCCTTTTATAAAAGATGTTTTCATATTGGTTTGTTTTCACTTAGAGATAAATCTAAGGTTGAATAAAATCCATCTAGTTTGAGTCCTCTATCATGGCGCCAATTCTCATATGGTATTACTTTTAATATTTAATGTATAATATTAAAAACATTAATACATTTAAAATATGATATAATATGATAAACACTCTACTTATACTCCTAGAATTATTATGGATAAACAAATGATTAATCTTTGCCGATGAATCCTCTGAAATGTGTCTTATTATCCAGATATCCGCAATAGAAAGATGCCTGTCTTGTTCTTCGCCAACAAGATGGATCTGAGGGACGCCATGTCTTCCGTCAGGGTCTCACAGTTGTTGTCTCTGGAGAACATCAAAGAGAAACCCTGGCACATCTGGTAAAATAACTGGTATTTCACACCAGTCTTTAGTTCATTTCTTCTGATTTAGTTTTCAAAGGAACATTTTGCCACCGCCAGAGGTATTGTTGAGTCATGGGCTCTGGCTACTGTTATGTAGTCTTGAAGTAACACGCAACATGTTGTGCTTCTAGAGTTTATGCTTAAAGTCTTAAATAAAAACAATAAAGATACCATGGATGTTTACTCACTTCTTCCTTGGCCTTTTTCCAATATCTGCAAGTTCATGGTCCAGGTTAAACCTTATTGAGGCACAGCAACAGGAAGTTATTTAAAAGCCTGGTTAGTATATACGTGTGTTTACAACCGTGTTTACTCATTAGACAGATGGAAGGCAGATGGATTAAGAGCTAGAAAGCTTTATACATCAAGGGTCCAAAAAAAGTCAAGAGAAAGCGAACATGTGTGATGGGGAGATTAACTTCTGGTCATATTCTTATTTTCTCAGTGCCAGCGATGCTATCAAAGGAGAGGGTCTACAGGAAGGGTTGGACTGGCTACATGGTAAATGGGTTTAGTAAATGTAACAGTCATACTGGATCAAAATAAAATAGCAGGGTCCAATTTCTCTCCAAATGTATGTCAATTTCAAAGTGCCGTCTGTATTAAAACTTGTTTTCTTCTTCCATAGAACAAATTTCACAGTAAGTATTATAATGCTGTGTCATGTCAATATGTAGAGTGATTGTGGTGGTAAGTTATTTTTCTTTGGATGAGATTTAAATCATGGTAGGCCAAGAAGAATTGGTATTTGTCTGTTATTAAAACTAAAAACTAAATTATTTAATTTATAATACTTTGACCGCACCTAGAGGAATAAATCCAATCCAATAGGAACGTTTGTGAGGCTTAAACTGTAGAACCTTCAATTCCTTTTTTTATTTTCCCTATTCTCCAATTTGAATGTAATGTGTGTACATGTACTGATGTTCCCCTGAATATTACCCATTTAACCCTTAACAACCCTTATACAACCCCCAGAAATGTCACAATGAAGATCAGAAATGTTTTCAAATGTTGTATTTTTTTTTTTTAAGTCAAGATGTAGTGTTGTTACATTACCTCTATTTTGTTTTTTTCTCTTGCCAGAATACATGAAAACAGTGAAAACGTGAATAATTGAAATGTCTTTGACCATGGCCGTGATGTGGACTGGGTAACTGGATCAAATGTACTGCTTGGATGATTCCTGTTACTTGTTGCTGTAGGCCTTAAACTCCCATTTTAAATAGCATAGTACTTCCTGTTCATGCCATGACTTTGACATCATGTTTCTTAACAACATTTGGATATGGATATTTGTATATGACGTCTAATCAAGCACCCACGCCCGTCGTAAGTTACCTTTGTTATACATCATTGCTGACACAAAGGTAGTTGCAGTCCCACTTATCTACTTGTTTTGTTTTTTTTGCATACAGAAACATTTCTATTTGAAGCTTTGCTTTTTTATTCAATGACATGTAATTAAACACATGTCATTAACATATTCTTTTTATGCTGTCAGTGCTAAAAATATTGTACTACTTGGAGGATAATAAAAAGTTATTTGCTTATTGTGTGCTATGTTTCTGTTTTTATTTTTAAGAAAAGGTAGCCTAAAAAACTTTCATAGAAAACTTTAAAAAATGACAAATTATAATTCTGCAGGTCACCCTTGAAAAAGATTTCTTTGATCTCAAGGGGCTTTCACCTGGTTAAATAAAGGCTACAAACAAACAATTGAAAATACAAGTTTATACAAGTTATATTTACAGAAAGGCTCAATGTGAATAAATACTTTTAATAAATAAAGTCACTGTTATAAATATATATTAAATAGTTTTTGAACATTAACATGCAATATGTTTAAAAAGAACAAGATTTTAAAACTTAAGGAGGAATATAAAACTTGTAAAATAAATGTCTTATTGGTCATAAGAACTTAAACAGCTGTATTTTCAACCAAGATATACAGGGTTGTTTACATCGTATAGAGAACTGTCAACAAAATTCCCCCTAGATTTCAAACTGTAGGCATCAAGTCTTTCTAATGTCCCTCTTTTGTTCACTTCTTCAGTTAACCCTATTCATTATTGCCGTTTGTTCCTTCCCCAGCTCATTTTCTTGTCACTTTAAATCTGCGTCGCTTCACTTTAGGATCATGTGGAGGAATTTAGTGTGGAAGCGAGCGCTGGAGTCCAGGAGGATGCACAGGCTCTGGAAAGTCTCCCTATCCTCGGGTTGGTTTCCTGAGAACAGATGATGGTATTAGTGATCACTTTCTTTCTAATCAGAGGCACTGCGGAGGTATTAAACAAATCTTTAGCAGTTGCAATAAGACAAAGTCAAAGACACGTTTTTTTTACATTTAATTATATTGTTGTTTGTTGTAGTCTACCTCAGTTTAAAAACCTAGATAAAATAAGCTGAAAATATGTTCAATACATTAATGAGAAATTAGGAGTACCCTATATATGCCATCTGTTGGAGCTGTGACACACATACACAGCGAACATCAACAAACAGTGTTGTAGTCAAGTCACCAATTCACGAGTCCAAATCCGAGTCACCAAGGGAGTGTCCGAGTCATCATTGCCTGTGTTCGAGTCCAAGTCAAGTCCGAGTCACAAGTCTTCATGTATTCATCTTCGTGGATATATGTGTTGAAATGTAGCTGCTCCTCTACATTGCTTTTATCCTGTCATGTTAATCTGTCTATTGAACTGCTGTGAAGCCAGTTTGGCTACAATTCTTGTAATAGGTGCTATACAAATATAAAGCTTATTAATAATAATCATATTAATATTATTATATTATTATTATTATATTTATTTGACTATGTGTATATGTGTGAGTATGTAGGTGTGTATATGTATGTGTGCATATATGTATATCAGTGTATGTATATGTTTATATGTACAGTATATATGTCAATCAACAGGTAAAGCAGATTAATAATGATAATAACAATAATGTTGAATAATAATGATAATTATTGCAGATTATAGATTATAAATAAATCATTTAGGGACAAGGGGGTGAGATTAAATAAATTACACTTCTTCTCACTCCTTTTCGAACACTAGATGTGGCACTGTTTATGTTGCTAATGCTGTTGTTGTAAATGTCATTTTTTAGTTTTGATTTCTCTTACATGAACATGACTATCCACTGCAACATTTGTTTTGTTTTGTAATTATTTATTTTACTTGTTCGAAATAAATGTATCAATCAATTATGATTTATATTATTGTAAATGACCTAACTATATTTAAAATGAGTTAACTTTTAGAGAAGTGATTATATTTTTATGCCAATATTTTCTTATGGTAAAGTTTTCATTTTGCACTTTTATTTTGATAGTAACTGCAACGGCAGTTTAAACTGTATTTCCTCCGCACACTGAGCTCTGATTGGTCAGCAGGCAGTGCTTTCACTGAGTTGATCTCTTATCCTGGAACCTATCCTGCTCCGGGGCAGGTTAGACGCTCAGCATAAGTTACCATGGAGATCTAGCCCGCTAAAAAGAGAACCAGCGTCGTAGGACCGGAAACCGAGAGTTTTCCCTGAAGTTAGCCGGCTAAGCGAAAATCCTGCTTCGTAGTACAGGCCTCAGATTAGGTTGCAGGCTAAGAGATCAACTCAGTGAAAGCACTGCCTGCTGACCAATTAGAGCTCTGTGTGCAGAGTTTAAAGCGATCAAGTCATATTACAGGAGAAAGGAAATACAGAAAAACTGCCGTTGCAGAAAAGACGGCCGGCAAAAATCACCGACTGTGAACGTGAACATTAATAGAATATCACCTCCCATCTTCAGAGCAATCTGACTATTATAACATTAGCGTTAAGAAAGCTTACTTAAATATCTGCCACAACATAAGTAACCGGATCAGAGTAACATTAAGTACAGTCCGCGGCACTGTGAGTGCAGACGTCGATGTGTCCCATTATCATTCATATCACATCATATCANGATTGGTCGAATGCTCCAAATACCACCCCTTTCATGTGAACGTGCACCTAACTAGATAGGACAAAGCTGGCTTGAGCGATCCACTTTATAACCAGCGTTGTAGTACCGTTTAGCGAGAGCGCGTATGTTTTGGATTAGGCCAACCGGCTAACTCAAACATATCCAGGTTAGGTTGAACCAGCTTCGTAGTACAGGCCTCTACTATGCTTTTTTTCTCTACATAAACAGAATACATACATCGTATAAATAATTTTAAATGGAACGTTACACCATCTTTAAACGTATAGCATCTTCCTTCCACCTTACATGGGCTGCACTGTCTACTCTATATAATATAATTCCCTTGTTTTGTTTAAGCTGTTATTGAAGCCCATTATCTACATGTAAATGCTATCTAGTCTTTCTTCAATATACGTTTTTGGAGTCAAGACTAAAGATGAATTAAGTTATATTTGCGCTGTAGGATACTGTCACACCTCACCTGTAATAGAAAACTCGAAGAACTCCCTGGTGACATCTGAAAACATGTTCTCCAGTTGTTGAATGAAGCCGAACCTTTCCGGAGGCGTGCTGAAGACCTTGCAGAGGTTCTGCACCATTTTCACCGCCCAGGACATGTGATAGCCATCCTTCTCACACACCTGAGGAGGAGGGCGAATCAAGGAAATCAAGCACTAGATCACATCCAGTCAGGAGAACCAATGGCAAACATTATTAGCATTTTTAGGGCTGATGTTTACATTTCAACTGCTAAGGCGACCCCAGGAGGAGATTTACGGAATAACTAATCATACTAAGCACTTAGACAGCACACGTGACTCTAACAGCCTGTAGATGAAAGTAAGGACCTGTCTGACCATTTTTCTGCCCAGTGCATGTTGGGTATGGTTTTAGCTCCCTCAAGAATGAGCAGATATGCCAAAATGAGTCACAACCACTAATATGAATAGCTTCAAAATGACCAGGCCAATATCCAATTCTCAGATGAAAGCAGGTCGTCCAAACACACCAGATTAACCTTAATTGAGGATTACATTTAAACTAATTTCCTTTAGCTGATGGTCAAATAAGCAGTACTCTCACCAGTATGATGTACACGATGAGTCTGGAGATCTCGAGAAGTCGTCCATTGATCGCCTTGCTGGCTAGTACAGTGTAGCAGAGACTGCTGCCACACAGCACCAACAGACGCGCCACGTTCTCCACATGCCACGGCTGAGGAATGACTGCATGTGAGGAAGAGGAGGAAGATGAGGAGGAAGAAGAAGACAATTAAGTCTACAATCAGTAACACCAATATGTTGTCTATGAAAACATTTGAGAGAAAACTGAAATATGATACCAATGAGCTCCTTGAATATTGCCACCAGTGAGTTGGTGTTCTGGCCTTTCACTTCTAGTTTGCTGAAAAGCAGCAGGATGGCTCTGGCCAGGTCCCACAGAGCGCTGTGAGGCAGACCCCTCTCCACCAGATCCTGCCACCCCAGGGTGCCTGCACAAAGAAGAGAACCTCACTGACTGTGTCATGTTATTACCACATCACAGTGGAGACAAATCTACAGGAAGCTCAACTAAACTAAAGTTTTCCAACGTCAGTGTAAGCTGCCCAGGTCTCCTGCACAAGAGTCAAACACTATAGGTTGTTCATTTGGGTGACATTATACAACTATATGTTGCTTTTTAACGCTAAAACATCGGGTTGTTCAAACTCCTAACCTTTCATTGTACATTTCAATTAAATGTCAACACATTTCAACATAGTTATCAACCACAGCTAAGAGGAAACTATATTTTGAAAATAATCTCAGGGAAATATCCCCACTAACTATGATGTGTTGCGTTTTTTTAAATAATATTGCATACACTTACTTTTGGAAAGGAAGATTACAGTCTGATCATGTTTTCATGTGAACAAATCCAGAAACGTTATTCTTACGACAAAAATAAAATTGACTGATCAATATGTTCTTATAAAGTTAATTAAACACAAACCCCGCTTACAGCTTGTTTTAAAGAACTGTTAGTATAAAGCATTTTTACTCTCAGGCAGCAGAGGGCCATAGAGGGTTAACAGCAGGTGGGCCTGGCTGACCAGGGGCCACGGCTTCAGGAGCTGCATCAGCCAGAACTGAGTGTCCATCTGGTTGGACCACGGGTCCAACAGAACCTGACGGCAGAAGAGACGGAGCTGCAGCTTCTGGTACCACCTCACACCTGAGGACCAGAACAGAAATAAGACATGTTTTTGTTTGTTTTTATGTCTTTTAAGTATTTTATAAAACTCAATGGGAAAAGGCCAAGTCAGTACAAATAAGTTCATGAATTCTTATAATAATAATTCAATATCAGAGACGAAAGACCCAGGGAAACTCATATGAATAGCTTAAATGCAACATTTAGTTAACCAGCTTCCACCACTTTTGTTTTAATTTTTTCCACAAAACGAGGTAAGCAATCAGAATTATTTGAAAGATATAATAATCACATTAAACACACCTGGCTTTCCAGTGACGACTATCTCAATTTTTTGCAGTAGATTTGTGAGGTCACACACAAAGTTGAACACTCTGTGGCACTCCAGCTCATCCCACCCTGCGATCAGTGTCTGTAAAGTATCCAACGAACATGAAATTATGAAGATGACTTCACATGATATATCCCGCTTCAAACTTGAGTTTATCCCCACTTAGCCATATTTGGATTGGGAAAAATTCAAATGTTCAGTTTACAGCACCATAATCTGTACTTCTATGAGGCCCTGACCTGGAGGAAGACTCCGTAGCTGAGGAAGCCAACGCAGCCTGGTTTCAAGCACTGCTCCAACCGGAAGCAGGGAACCTAAAACAGATTATTATTTATTTTCCTCATCATTACATAGGTTACGATCAAATAACATTAGGACTGAATATTGAATAATGTATCATTTACACAACAAGATTGCAATGTTCGCATGTGCAGCATTCCAAAGGATGTAAAGTAAGGAGGCAAGGTCTTTGAGTATTATCTATGGGACACATTTCATATTTTATCCTGGTGTAATGCATATGTATTTTTTTGTTGATGCAGCATTTCATATCTCATATTATCTTATCCTTCTTGTCCTCTCACCTGTTCCTTTCTTACCTGTGAAAACTCGCTAAAGATAAACTTTAACCTTTCCTTTGTTGGTTGCAACAGGGTAGATCTCTTAAACAACAAACCTGGGACATTAAACACAAAAGCATAGTATCAAATAAAAAAATACAAGTTAATATCTTTCCTATACATTCACTTCACAGGGTAACTTATCCCTAGTGTTGTATGAAACGGCTATCAGTGATGTGGATGCCATTGATCAACAGGTTGATAGCAAAAGATAGAAATCCCCCATTAAGTCTACATTGAGGAGAAAAGCTACTCAAGGTCAAACCTTCAACCAAATTTTTTTTTGCACTTACCCAGGTCTCTGTAGTGTCCAATAGTGGATCTCTGTTCAGGGCAACTTGAGAGGTGAAAGCTTTGAATGATGGTTTTATTCTTCCAGGCCAGGGTGGAGATGTACTCCACAACAGATCGAGTGATTTCCTTGGACACCATGCTGAAAATACTGATCTCCAGCACTGACAAAAACACACAATTTCATCACATACATTTGAAATCTTTAAATAAGGTTTCCTAAAAGTTATGTTCAAATTGAAGACATCTGCATATATTTTGACATGCCAAAAACGGGTTGGTACATACTGTGTGCTTCATTGATGTAACTGTGTACAACTACATTTACTCAAGTACTGTACTTAAGTACTTTACTTGAGTATTTCAATGTTTTACGACTTTTCAGAGGTAAAAAGTGTACGTTTACTTCACTGCATTAATTTAATGCATTTAGTTACCTTGCAGATAGGGATAAATGATACGAAATATAATCAAAACTTAAATAAGACTTTAGTTACACCTGGAGTAACATTCACAAGCTACGTGTAACAGCTTAGCTACCCTGCAGTATACAAGTAATTCAAACTTTTACTTTTCCTACACTCTGGTACTTCTACTTTTACAAAAGTCCCACATCTGATGTGCTTTGTAAGCCATAATACACTGAGGTTAAGTTAACTAGTTGCACCTACCAGACATTTTATCCAGGATCATGTGGTACACCTCTGACGGGAGCCTGTGGAAGAAGCAGCCGACGGTGAGGCACTGGCTGCGGGTCACGATGGTCCTGGTGGGCCGCGGCCGGGGCCGGTGAATATTCCTCTTTCGTGATTTGTGGGTCGATGTGTACTTCCCAACATTTCTGGAGGCTGTCCTCACCATTGCCACCACCTCTTAATTTACTGTACAAAATTAGATAAGGCTTAATTTGACTGGAAAGTAAAAGTAAATCTCAAGCTGCTAGCCTCAAGTAAGCTAAAAGAAAATGGCAAATTATTATAGCTAGCTAACTTAGGTAGCTTAAATGCTAATCTAAACTCCCGAAAAATGTAAAACACTAGTATATTTTCGGTTTTAATAACCTTCAGGTTCATGTATTCACCGATATACATGTATATTATAGAAATATAAGCTAACGAGAGAACCCAAAACCCTGAATTCTTACCAGAACTATAACTTATTAATGTGAATAGGCAGCAGATGACAGATATGAAGTGAGACAGCTGTGTGTCACATTAGCTTCCTTTGATGACACAACGGCGCGAAATATTTTCACTTTTCTGACTCTAACTCGGAAGTGACCTTTGCGGTAAGAAAACCATAAACAATTTCAGTGAAGTTTGATTAAATACACAAGTTAGTTAAGGTAAAATATTCAGAATGTAATGGTAAAGCTAGGAAGTATTAGCAGACGCTATTATTTAAGTGAAGTATAAGTTACACAAAATGACTGATGAAGATTATAATGAAAGTAATGTCTAACTTCAGCTGATGATGTTGTACGCTAAAAAGCATTTTCTCTGAAATGTAATACTCTTCCATAATAATCTCTGTTAAATATAAGTGTGCTAGTAGCCTATAGGAGGCTATAGTTATTTGACATCCTATCTTTTTTCATAAAATAGCTTTTTAACTGATGATTTTATTTAGAATATCTTGTCCCCATAAAGTTATCAAATCAAATCCAGCAATAACATATAGCTCTATTTGTTAGACTTTAATATATTTTCCTCTGAAATGTAGTACAGTCTGCTTTATAAACTGTATTATATTTTAATAATAGTACAGCATAGTAAATTACAGTAAATTCTAGCCTTTAAAATATCCAATTGTAATCCAGCATTGCTCTATTTGGTTTATATCCTCCGCAGTGATCTAAAAGTCTCTATTCAAACTCCAGACAATTATTATGTTTTGCATTTTAGTGATGGCTGTCAATGATCTGACGCTCTTTGTCTGTGCTAATAGTTCATGAAGTCCATGACCTGAGGTAACTCCCATTAACACTCCTCCCACCCTCCACCTGAGCAGAGATCAGCCAGAACACCTGTGTGAGAGTGCAGCCATTTCAGATGTGCTACTATATTTTTGGAATGTTGTGTATATTTGCTATTATATCATTGAAAATGAATATGCAGTACACAAATGTGTGAAGCTTTTCAGATCCTGAAAAAAATGAAGGTCTGCTTCACACACCACCGTGGCTGTGTTACCGTGCACAACAGAGCAGCTACTGTATGCTCAGCTGCTAATCATGGGATTATTCTGTTTAACTAAGACTATTATGGGTTCTTCATTCAAATGGCGTCTCCCACAGGGAGACTTCGAAGAGGATCATCCCCTCACTATGGAGCTCTGACAGAGACTTCTACACAAGGGTCGCAGGGGAAGGGCCGGAAAAATGCTCCTGTATACCAACAGGATGTCACGCTAGGTTACGCTGAGGGCACAGAGGGAGAAGAGAGACGAGAAATGCAAAGGAAGAGGATGGACCTTTGGACCTTTGAAATGAGCTCACCTGGTTTGCAGAAGAGTATGTACCACACACACACAAACACCTACACTATGAAGTATATTTGGCTAAAATCATCTGTTTGAATGCCTGCCGATTCAACCCTAATTGTAGTTCATTTATTCATGTTCTTCTACAAATAGCTTATAATGTGCTAAGCAGATTCATTTATTGATCTTTTCATTCTTGCTTTTGATTTGGTCCGTTATCCATTCACCAAATGTTGTGTTACAGAGAGCTACATAATGGAAAGAAACAGCACCAGCAGGGAGGACAATATCTCTTCTGTCTGTATCTGCTTCTGCAACTCTGCTCTGCCTCCAGGTCCACGGGTTTATCTGTCCAGAGCCACAAGCCATCACTAAGACTTTCTCTCATGTCATCTCTGACACGATGATCCTAGAGCTGACAGGGATAACGCCGATGATGATATTTAACACTGACCAGTCACATATCTGACAATCCTGCAGCACAAACACATATTCAGTGTGTGTTGGGGAGGCAGCAGCAGAGACAGAAGGAGCTGCTCGGTGTGGAATCAATGCCAACTGCCTTATTTATCTGGAAGAGTGCCTTCTGGACGCCTGTGACCATGGCTCTGTAGTCCTCGTTTGACTTTGTGAGTATTCAAATGTGTTACTAAAAATATAGAAGTGAAAGGTTAAGCAGCATTCAATGAACAGTAGTTCAAGTGTTGAAATTGCAATTGGAAAGTGTTAAAAAAGTTTCAGAATCATAAATCCTTTATTCCTCCAACATAGCACAGAGATTGAAATTGTTCCATTTACAGACTGTTAAAGGTACAGTGTATATAAAAAGTAAAAATAATGATGACTAACATATAGAATAAAGATGCACACCGTCATAAAATGAATAAATTAAAGTTGACATCTATGGTAAGTGTGAACATATAACATTACATTACATTGCATTTAGCTGACGCTTTTATCCAAAGCGACTTACAATAAGTGCATTCAATCAAGAAGATACAAACTTGAAGAAAACAGAATCATATAAGTAACATATAACATTTGTTGAGTAGCAGCTAGTATAAACATCAGTTTCAAGCTGCCAATAAGTGTTTATTGCACATATATATTATTATTATTACATTGGCTTGGGGCAGGCTAATTTAGTACAATCTAATGTGAATCAAGATGCTTTTCACAGCCCTGCCTTTGTTTCTATTGCTCACTTCGTATGCCTTCAGTGTAGTCAATCATTAAACACAATGAAGCTTGTCTCTTTGATCAATTAAGAGATCCCAACAGTGCCAGGTCTGACACTGAACAATAATGGAGCTTTATAAACACCCTTTGTTATCTGAGGAAGTCAAAACAATGGGTCTGTATGAGCATGGTGTGCTTTCCTTGCTTTTCAAATTCAAAGTTGCTCTGTTTCACTCTTGTGGGAACAACAAGCTGTTTGTATTTAAGTGAGTATTGTCAAATGTTTTCATTTATGGTTGCTTGATTATTATTTTTAAAACTTGTGTTGTCATTGATAGGAAATAGGAACAGTTTCTTCAAAACACAGAGAAGGAACAAAAGTCAATGCTTAACTTAAAATGTGTTTGTTGCTGCACTTCCTGTTCAGTTGTGAAATGTTTAAAGTCACGTGTTGAGTTATAAAAATAGATTTCCAGGTGATCTCAGGGCAGAGATTAAATTAAACATAATAATAAGTTACCACAACATTTGTCACTACTATTGTCACTATCTGGGGCCCAGCAGCTAGAAGTCCTCTGTCATCATGTCCCTCTCAAAATACCCTGCAGAGCTGTGAAAAGTGTTCAAAGTTAGTGGTTTATAACAGTACTTTCAGCTTGGGTGGTTTCTGTAAATGTTTAATTTCCTCTCCCTCCCTCTCCGTGCGTCTCCTTTCCTGAGGGGTAGTGCGGAGCTTAACAAATAGACGGCTGTGGTTTCGCCCTCCAGAGGAGAGCGGTAAACAGGTGGAGCTGAACACTGCTCTAATTAGTTACAGATGCAGTCACCTGCCACTCACCAGAGACAGATGCCAGAAAGTTTCCACAGCTTTTTCTGCCCACACTCCGAAGACACTTGAGGAATGGCTCAGACTCTGTGACTGGATGTAAGCTCGGGGAATTTACTGTACTGCTGGGGGCCGTGCAGATAACAGCAGGAACCCAGCCTCATCTTCAGCCTGAGGGGACTGGGGTTTTTATGTGGCGGTATGTTTTGTCTGTGTGTGGAATTAAGGGCTGGGATTTTGACTGGTATTGCAATTGCGCTATGATTCCCGATATTAAAGGGACTGAAACACTATTCATATTCTAGTTTTAATCTATATTTAATCATCACGGTAGGATTTATTTCTGTGCCAAACAAGGAATTTTATTAAGTCTGTAGAAAACTTCTTTGCAGCTTAATAATTATATCTTCAAATTGTTTTGCCTTTACCAAATGTTGCCCTTGCGATTTGGATATTCCCTTAGTCCATATTTCAACAACATTTAGATTTACTGTGCTGCCCTAGATGACTTTCTGCCCTTTTTACTTATGTACCCTGTTGATCTAATGTACGTTTTTGAGCCTATTCAGAGACCTCCAAGTGCTCTTAATTCTCTCCTGTGTGTACGCGCTTATTAACAGGTTTTTCAAACTTTGTACCTTGCAGATTGTCCGAGCAAGCGAATCATGGCGAGCATGGCGGTACAGCTCCTCGGCTTCTTCCTGGGGCTGTTGGGTTTGGTAGGAACTGTTGTCGCAACGGTGCTCCCCCACTGGCGCAGCACGGCCTACCTGGGCTCCAACATCATCACAGCCACCGCCTACATGAAAGGCTTGTGGATGGAGTGTGTGTGGCACAGTACGGGCATCTACCAGTGTCAGGTGTACAGATCTCTACTGGCACTGCCTCAAGACCTGCAGGTACTACACAGACATACTTTAGGGAACGTTTTGGTTTATAACAACAATTATAACACATTTGAAAGCACTTGTATTGAATGTAAGTACCATAATACTACATATATATATATTACATAACAACTCTACTAAAATGTGCAATTCAACATCATATTTTATACTAATACACCACTGTATATATTGGAATATACTGTACATGTAGTATTTATTGCAAATTCTTACTTTAACTACTTGTGTAAATATATATAATTGTTTTATTGTATTATTGTTTAACCTTTTCTGTTTTCGTCTTAAAATGGAGCAACTGTCACAAAACCTTATTTTCTCTGGGATAAATAAAGTATTCTTATTCTGATAACAAGATGGTAATAAGTTACTACTGCAAGTGGCCATTGTTTGCTTACGTAAAGTGAAATAAATATCATTATTCTATGCAAGGACAAAACCAAAAAAGCTGACTAACTTGTGTAACAAATCAGTACACCAATTTGACAACACTTGTTGATGAACTGAATAATTTTGCATTTCATTTATATAATGTTTGCCCAAAAAACTCTTTCTCAAGTCTCTATTGACTCAAAATATAGATAATACCTGAAACCATTTATTCTCTACCATCAGCTGTAGATAAAATTGCCAGTTTCATAATTAATTAATAGTTGCCGAACATTCTCGAATGTCAGCCAATCAAATTTTAGGATTTGAAGCTTTCTCAGTAATCTTAGGATTTTTCTTTGGACACATTTTATTTACAAAATGGTAATCAAGACAAATATAAATATAAAGGGTTTTATTGACTATGTAGTTTCAGTCCTAATGAAAGGCTCATTTGCTAATTCATTGCCCAGAAGGATAGATGGATGATCTGATATGATATGACATATTTAATCCCAATGTTAAAGTATTGTCTCTCTCCCCACCAGGCTGCCCGGGCGCTCATGGTGCTCTCCTGCGTCACCTCAGTGCTGGCTTCTCTGGTGTCTGTGATGGGGATGAAGTGCACCCGCTTCGCCCGCCACTCAGTAATCAAGTCCCCCCTGGTGCTGAGTGGGGGGGTTTGTTTCATCTGTGCCGGCCTGCTCTGCCTGATCACTGTGTCCTGGACCACCAACGATGTCATCTTGGACTTCTACGACCCCTTCATCCCCAGCGGGATGAAGTATGAGATCGGCCTGGCCGTGTACCTGGGCTTCGCCTCGGCCTTCCTCAGCCTGAGCGGGGGGATGGTGCTCTGCTGGAGCAGCAGCCCTGACAGGTCACAGAGACCCCCCCGTATGCAGAGGAGCCCTCCATTATCAGCTCCCCCCCCCTTCAACCCAATCTATCCTCCTGCTCCACCCTACAAGCCCCCCGAGGCCCTGAGGGACAATCGTGCTCCTTCATTTTGCTCCGCCTCCAGCAGTGGCTATAGGCTCCATAACTATGTCTAAGACTGAAATAATAACACGATAACTGCGGAGACTGTAAAAAACACTGTAAAGACCAAAGAGTCAACAGAACCCTTCTTTTAATATCTTAACAAGTATTTTATCCTCTCGTAAAACGAAAAAGGACCAGCATTTACATCACCATTTCTGACCACAAATCTGATTCTGAAAGGATACAACAGATTCAAAAGAACTGCCTGGCTTTCCTCTGACCTAAACCTGATCTGAGATGCTAACTGAACTCACATTGTGTCAGCAGACTGAGGGCGGACCTGTTGACCTCCTGCAATCCACCTAAAGGACCAGAAGGTGGCAACATTTTACTGCAAATGGCAGGAGACGAGCAACAAACGTTAAAGGATAAACTGTTTTTCCTTTCTGTATACTGATTTGGAGTTGGAGTTTACTTTTTTCTAGGATCCAATTTAAAACTTGTACTTATTTTAAAGGAATCTGCAGGATTCAATATTGTCATGCCAAAGAAAAGACAAATAAACAGATTACAGATTCTAAGGATTTGAACATATATTAATGTGTTTTTATTATTTTTACTATCAAAGCAGATGTTGTGACATGAAAAGTATTCCACAGCTGTAATTAAGCTGGTTACTAGGATATTGTAAGCAGGGTCATCGTTACCAGGATGGGTTCCACCTGTGCTTTTCATGCTGCCATACAGGTGCTGGCATAGAGACCTACAATGGGTGAGATATTGAGACTTTATGCCATTAAATCAATTATTGATTTTTATCAGGAAACTCTTCTGCAGGTATTAACACCAGACTTTTTTTCCATCTGTGTTAGGTTTAAGAATATATTTTGCAAAGCTTAAAGAAGCCTCTGGATGGCGACAAAGATCTTTTGAGAAGGCAGCTTAAAGCCTTTAGTTGGAACTGCTTTGTATGAATCTAAACCACACCATTGGTATACTGTATTGTTGAGGCTGTAATCTGGATATTACATTTTTTTTATAAATGACTCTCTCATGACATGCAGCCTTAGTCCTTAAAGTGTAAAATATAAGTATCATTTGTGGAGGCTGGATTTAGCTGTGATGCTTTCTAGGTTGTTTGCTTACCTGTGGTACTGTGGATGTGTTTTTGTTATAAAACGTTCCAATTAGAGCTGCCCTCTGTCTGGCAGCCCGTCAGCCACACAGACACTCAATTAGAGGACATGTCGCATTTCAAGCAAGTCACTTATTTTATTTCCAGCAGTCCAACCAGTGAGCATCAACATCTTTACGGAGCTCATTTATATTGCCTAAACAATGGATCTTATTTGGTTTTCAAGAAAAGAAGGAAAATGCTTGTTTAACTGAAATATAACCGAATGCAGCTTTTCTAAAATATATTGAATTCCTTTTAGAAAAATATATGAAGAAATATCACATCAAAGCAAATATTGAAGTTAAAGGAATAATGTCACACAAAAGGCTTCACACCAAAGAAAATAAAAAAACTCTTAATTGGTGTTTTAAATATTTGTGCTGTGAGCTCAGGGTTTCCAAATGCAGCACCATGGACAGCTTTCTGAAAGCCTGGAAGCAACTCCCATAATACAATATGTACTGTCAGACAGGGATAATAGATATATTTGAGATCCTTTATTAATTTTCCCATGGTTTGAAGGCAGGCTTTAAGAGGTAACAACCATTATGCATATATTGGCCAACATAAATGTGTAGCATCTAAAGAGGATATTGTCACTTACAGTACAAGATACTAGTAATACAAGTTTTTTTCCTTGATTACTTACCCTGATTTTATGGATATAAGACTGGATTTAGTGACATGTGTAACATAATTGAACAAAAGAATGCCCTGGAAGTCGCCATTGCTCCTTCTTTGTACTCCTATCTATTTAAATAAAGTAGATTTGGACGTTGTGATATTCAGATGAAAAAGCTTGTGAGTGGAGTGATGTTCTTTGGATAAAAAAGCGTCAGAGCTGCATGCGTAAAGTGGGTGATAAAATAAAAAAGTCATCCTACACAGGGATTACACCCTCAACATATACCACATACAGCCAGCGTCTGCATAAAAACCTCGATGCTGTAATGGTGGAGCAAGATCATCAATCAGGGCTGGGCAGAGTAAAGGTTTCATTTATTGGCAATGTGATATTATTATATTGGAAAGCTTTTCCGAACGGGCTGTGCGTCATGCCACTCTCTATTAGGTGCTATTTTCGTCCTGCCCTGGAAGACATTCATCCTCCATCTACTCAACCTGACAGCACCCAATAAACCCACCACTCACATTCATCTCCACCCACCTCCACCCTCTCCCTCGCTATTTCTCTCTCCCTCTCTCTCCCACTCCGACGAGCATTGGTGACTTAAAAAACAACATAGGAGAATTGGGTTTGGTCGTCCGACTGGATTACTTTGTGGTAACAGTTTTCCAACGAAATCGTCTTTAACACTTTTTTAAATCTTATTTTTGAGGCCCTGCTCCTGTAATTGGTTTCTCCTAAAGTTAAGGTAAGATCATTTCTGTTTCCTATATTTTGTTCTATGTTGGCTGATTCGTACTGCATTTGACTATAGTGACACACGTTGATTTAAAGAGAGATCAATAATGCAATACTGGCCCCCTGGAACCCTGGTGTCAGCGCAACGGGGAGCTGAAACCACAGGTTTGATTCTAGTGATGCAGCACATCGGACACAAAACCCTCATGCGTTTGTTTCACGGATCCTATCGTTAAGGCTGGGCAGTTTTGTTTCTGTGTGCAACGTTTGGGAAGCATTATTGAACTTTTACGCACGAAACAAAACCATATCTGTCCAGTTTTTCAATCATCGTAATACAGGATAGCCTAAAATATTTTTAAGAATTTATTGAAATGCACGACATGGTGTTGGTAACCTGGCACAGTAATTGGAGTACGCCATGTCTGTAATTAAAGAAGGAGCAAGGCGTGCGTAAAACGTCTTCAACTGTCTGATGTCGATTATAATACAAATATTTGGTAGTTTTGTATTTTTCTGATTCATATCTTGATTTGACACATGATGGAGTGCCGATTGTTCTTCTTAATCTGCTTTGTGCGTCAGTTGAACAAGGTAAGATCATTATAATTTCAGACATTATATTTTATGATCACAGTATTTAACCTAGAACATAGTAACAAATGTTTTCTAATAACGTAATTGGCAGCTGTGCTTATTTTTGGTTAGACCTATTGCATGCAAGGACTCGAAGAGCCTAATTTGATAACATTATGTGTTAACAAAAACTTAACCTGAAAAATGTATGCGTTTTCGACCTTAGAAATATAGTAGCCTATGTAAATTGAAATTCGAATTTTCTCTCGTTTTCACCTGATTTAACTGAGGGGAAAACCTCCACAATAAGTTACATTTATGAACGTCTATGTTACTTTGGTGCACATCTGCAGTGAGGGTGAAGTTGATCGGTGCGCAAAAAACATGAAACTGAGTTTAACATGAAGTAGTGAACCACCTTCAAATTAGTACAATTAAATCATGTTTCCTCAAATGCAGTGTTTGGATAGTAGTGTTTAGAAGTTAAACATAAATGTAAGAGTTCCTTTTTCAAATGGAATAGTCATCTCCACCTGCGCACGGAATCACTGCAGACTGTCTGATCTATTAGTGTGATTTAACATGTGTTTATTTCTTATTTTCATTTCAAAGTTATCTCCATGAGATTCCAGTCCTCCGCGCGCAGAAGCACCTGATCTCGGCGGGAGTAAGTGTACGAAAGAAAGATGGCCTTCCACGCCGAGGGTCTCGTGGCCATCGTGATCTTCTATCTAATGATTCTGTTCGTGGGGATCTGGGCCGCGTGGAAGAACAAGAGCTCCGGTGGAGCCGAGGGTGGAGACCGCAGCGAGAGGATCATGGTCGGGGGAAGGGACATCGGATTGTTCGTAGGTGGATTCACAATGACTGGTGAGTTGGTTAATAACTACAGGAAGCATTTTTATATGAATGTACTGGCAAGTGTTCAACATGAACATTTGGCTCATGCTGTTACACTTAGACGTTACATGAAGTCAGAGAAAGACGATGAATTTCACCAACTTCGTCTTTTACGCACGGACAGCACTGCAGCCACACATGTGATTTATTGCCACTACTTTCAGCATTACATTTATTAGATTGCTAAGCACTTACAGATGACGCAACTAACGACTGAAACATTTTTGTTTTGTTTTGTAAATCCAAATGTCACCTAGGGAGGTCTCGGGTCCTTTAGATTGACATCCAAATAAACCTGTTTTCCAAAAACAAATGGATTCAGTCAGTCTGATGTATGCCAAATTATAATTTCAACTGCAATCTACATTTCCTTTTTAATCCTTCCATACTAGACAACCGCATCATGAATGATTTTTTTTGTTAGAATCATTTTATGGAACATACAATAAAGTACTCAAATGTTTTTCTCTCTCTCTTGGTTTCAGCCACTTGGGTGGGTGGGGGCTACATCAATGGGACAGCAGAGTATGTCTACCTGCCAGGCTTCGGACTGGCATGGGCACAGGCACCCTTTGGTTACGCTCTCAGCCTCGTAGTAGGTAAGAAACAATGTCTACTTTTAAGACCTTTCTTTAAAAAAAATATATATATATATATAATTAACTTTTCTGCTTTCAAGGTAGCCATTGATTTTGTCCATTAACTCCACAGTATTGTGGCATATTGGTAGATGGGTGATCTATAACAGTTACATAATGTCTGCTTTTGTTTTTGTCACTTCCCACCATCATTGTATGGCAATACATTGAAGACCTAAAACTGTAATAGCACAGGTTGATAACATTCATTCGTAAATAAGTGTATACTTAATGTGTTAGATTAATCTATTGAAACAGCTTTCAGGTCTCTGCTGTTTTTAAATACTACAGAATTACGCTTTAGCAGTAACAGTAGTAAACAATAGTATGATGTTGTAAAGCAATACAACACTGGTAAGAAATACAGTATCTTGTTTATAAAAACATACACTTATACAGAGTTCTTCTGTCTGACATCATTCAGGTGGCCTTTTCTTTGCCAAGCCCATGCGTTCCCGTGGTTACGTCACAATGCTGGATCCCTTCCAGCAGATATATGGGAAAAGGATGGGCGGCTTGCTCTTCATCCCGGCACTCATGGGGGAAATCTTCTGGTCTGCGGCCATTTTATCTGCCTTGGGTGGGTGAATTCTGGATCCTAAAACGTATATCTAATTAAAAAAACCTCTGTGTTAAAAATATAAATGTTAACTAATTAATGTGCTGTCCTGTAGGTGCTACTCTGAGCGTGATCGTGGACATAGACATCAACATGGCGGTGGTGATCTCAGCCCTCATTGCTATCTTCTACACGCTTGTTGGAGGACTCTACTCTGTTGCATACACAGATGTGGTCCAGCTCTTCTGTATCTTCATAGGCTTGGTGAGTTTCACTGTCAACATCTCCGTAGCCAGTGACTCTAGAGGGGACAAGGAATCTGCCACCTCCAACTTTGGATAGACCCTAATAGGATTTATCATTTATATAGACTGAGGTCCAATACCATTACCCGTCCTGTATCTTTTCACCCAAAACATGTACGTTTTCATTAACCAATATTTCATACAAATCTTTGTTGTTGTTGACCATTTTCTCTCCAAAAACGTCTTAAAGATATCAAGCATCCATATCTACCTGTGTAATCTGATAACAAATGTTGCATTGCAATCATCGATTGCGATCATAATCTTCATATCAGACATGTGTCACATCTAGAAACTATTCTACAGTTTGCTTTGTATAAATTGATATTTCTGGAACAATGATCAAAACTTGGATCCAATCTCAGAGTGTACAACTTTGATGTTGAAAGGTTTTATATCACACAATTATATTAGATTATTTTAGATTCAACTCTATTGTCATTGCACAGAGTACAACGAAACCCAGTTTGAATCCAACCAGAAAGTGCAAATAGTAATGAAGCGCATTATTTTTCAATTAATTCACAGAACAAATATAAGGGCAGGGTTTAGACATATATAGATAAATACAGATGTAATTAATGGAAGATACAGCAGTTATAAATAGTAAATAAAGATATTGTAAATGAGTCCAATGTCCCTGAGTGTGATGTGCTGTGGGTTTGAGCCACATGACATTAAAAGGGGTGTGTTGGTGGGCTGGTTCTGACTGTGAGAGTTCAGGAGGGTTATGGTGTTGTGGAAAAAGCTGTTTCTGAGCCTACTGGTGTGGGATCTGAAGGACCTGTACAGTCTCCCTGATGGGAGGAGAGCAAACAGACTGTGGTTCAGATGTGATATAAAATATATATAAAAGAAGGATTTTATCTGCATTGTGACCTTTTCTCCTTTAGTGGATCAGCGTGCCTTTTGCCCTGTCCCATCCTGCCGTGTCCGACATCACTGTCACAGCCAAGGAAGTAATCTACCAATCACCCTGGCTGGGGAACATTGACCCTAAAGACAAATGGCTCTGGGCGGACAACTTCTGTTTGCTGGTAAGCCATTTTTTCATTAGAAGATTCATCAACAGAAAGAGTACTGTAAAGTAAATTGCATACACGGTTATAATCAGTGTTGCAGGTAGGGGGTTTAATTGTTGCAGGTATGTCACAGGACATTCACATAATTGCAGACATAAAATTATATTTTAGAATAACTGGTAGCACAGTTTCAGACTTGAGAAATGTGTGTGTTAGAGCTGTGCTTATGGTGGTCTTTGTGACTGTGATGCTTTGGTGTTTGTATTTATTATGGTGTTTCTGTTTCTAGATGTTGGGGGGGATTCCCTGGCAGGTCTATTTTCAACGGGTTCTTTCTGCCTCTTCAGCTACCTACGCTCAGGTCCTTTCCTTCATTGCCGCCTTCGGCTGCTTGGTCATGGCCGTCCCCTCTGTCCTCATAGGAGCTATAGGGGCCTCCACTGGTAAATAACACACATATTTGATATCATGCACCCAAAACAGTAATCAATAATAGCTGTGTTTCTTTGTATGGAAATGATTTAAATTACGCCACCTTTCTATAATTATCTTTATATATATATATTTGAATACTAACTTATTGGCTAAAATACTACAAGACAAAGAAATAAAGATTAAGTAGAATTGAAAATTGTTGATAAGTATTGATTCATTATTGATCAAATAGCTACAAATGCATGTTATTTACTTCCCAATGCCTACGAATGACAAGAAAACTAGCTAAATGCAATGTCACTTGAAATCACACTCACACCCTTAAAGCCCCTGTCACACTGTCCCGAAATTGACACCCGATGGACACACGAATATGGAATTGTGAATTTCGCACGAAGATGGCCCCGAACCACACACGAAGGCAACATTTACATTACATTTAAGACATACAACTGCAACGAAAGTAACACAAACAATTATTTTAAAGTATTATGATACTGTACTGATATTTTCCGACTTTGTTCTTTACTTTCTCCTTCTTTATATGTAGAAGATATTAAGTTTTCTCCGTCATGTTGTTTCCATAGCAACAACAACTTCCTCCCCTTCAAAATAATATATTATATCCTTTTTAGTTTCACAGAACACAAATTGGGTTATTTACATAATATGTTTACATGATTTTGTTGTGCAATAAAACAACCAGATGGACACACGATAAAGGAAATGTTCAAATTCGGCTCTGATCGTAGCAACATCGGGCCATTCGTGAGGGCATCTTAAGCCATCTTTGGCATGCCAAAGATTTTGCCACCGCTCCCGAAGTTGCTGCCGGAGCCTGATAAATTCCACCGGCGGTCATACGATGGCTTAAGATGCCCTCACGAATGCCTTACGAAGGGCAAAATTGACACACAAAGTCAACACGAAAATGAACCTTCACAAGGTCCTTCGGCAATGCTTTGTGATGCCAAAGATGTTGCCACCGCTCCCGAAGTTGCTGCCGGAGCCTGAGAAACTCCACCGGCGGTCATACGATGGCTTAAGATGCCCTCGCGAATGCCTTACGAAGGGCAAAATGGACACACGAAGTCAACACGAAAATGAACCTTCACAAGGTCCTTCGGCAATGCTTTGTGATGCCAAAGATGTTGCCACCGCTCCCGAAGTTGCTGCCGGAGCCTGAGAAACTCCACCGGCTGTCATACAATGGCTTAAGATGCCCTCACGAATGGCCCGATGTTGTTACGATCAGAGCCGAATTTGAACATTTCCTTAATCGTGTGTCCATCGGGTGTCAATTTCGGGACAGTGTGACAGGGGCTTAAAGGTGGAATAGGTAATTCACTTCAGAAACACTTTTTGTTATATTCCATGGAATGCTCTTAACATCCCGATAGCAATGAATACATGAAATGCTTTGACAATAAATACATTAAAACATTTCATCTGTGGAAGCCATGGCGCCCGGCTAAAATAACTTGATGGCTTACCTGCCTGTCAGCCTTCCATCTGTGCACAAACTTATCTCGTGCCCTCATTGGTCATGTGCGCGTTCGTGTGTGTTGGAGGAAGGGATAAGGAAGTCTGAAGGAAGGGGCATATTTTTTCCGGCTGCACTTTTAAAATCCTAGCGCACTCGAGCTGGTTTCTCCATTCTTACCTACTTTTAAATGATGTGCATACACACACAAACACATGAGGATATTGATTGAACAGTTAGATAAAGATCACAACACTGTTGAAACATCTAGGAATCTGATCCTTTATTCAAACAGGAATTTTTGATCAAAGAAAACCCTGCTTCGGTTTCCTGGGTTGTTTGCACACCAGCATAATCATGTATCTGGAGAGCAAACAACATCAGATGGATCCTGTCACAACAGCTGAGGAGAGAGTCATCAGACCGTGCCGATTTAGTGAATATTACATCTGAAGGGAAGCTAATTAATCTGGTCCGTCTGAAGTTGTTTCATGTATAACAGACACTAATCAACCGCTGCTAGTGAATATCCAGGGGAGAGGGAGGAAGACACAGATTGTATACCTCTGGAGGACAAAGAGAAAGATAAAAACGAGACAAAGATAGAAGGTTTTCAGAGGGTTTAAGGGTTTTATGAAAAGACTTGTACTTCATACTTAAATAACATATGCCCGGCTGATAGGAGGATATACTGTATATGAAGGGCAGGAATGACCGACCTGCTAGATTCATAGTTTCCTCAAGCACCACCATGAGGCGCAAATTAGTTGTTGTTTTGACTGACATACTATCTCACTAACTATTAGATTAAAAGCCCTACGTTTGCTGCAAACATTCATGTTCTCACCATGTCGATATTCTAGTTTGCCTATTGCTTTTGTTAATGTCTAAATACCTGCAAAACTAATAACACTTCCATCAGCCTCAGGAGTAATTTGGGCTCACTGCTTTTCAGCAAATGTTAGCTTGCTAAGCTAAACTAAGATGGTGAACATGGTAAACACTGTTATGTATCTGCTGAACACAGGATGATAGCAAAGACACTGTGAGCATGTTAGCATGCTGATGTTAGCATGTATGTCATAGCAGCACTGTGCCGCTGGCATGGCTATAGACTCCTGTTAAATATTACTTTTTAAATTCCCCTAAAAATTCCCGTATTCAGGGTTTCCTTCCTAGAAAATAATGTCTATATACAGCATACAATCTTTTGTAGTTGGTCAGTAAGTGTCTCATTGGAATCAATGGATTATAGCTCACATTAATCATTGTTCATTCTATGATAATCAATAACATTTACATTTATAATGCACTTCAGCTTCATTATGTATTCTAAAATACTGGGTCATATTTCATGTTATGACACAGGATCCAATAGGGATAAACCTGTGTATTAACCATGGTTAATATTGCTTGGGTGTCATACTATATTTTAATGGGTATCCATTATTTTTGGCATTTCTCTTTAACTTGGGCTTTTTTGCTTTATTTTTGACTGTACCCCTGCATTAAATTAATAATCCTTGCTTTATTTCAGCTCTTTGTTTCTGAGCTGCTCAAACAAGTGTATCGACAGGGAGTATTTTAATATGGCCTCAAAGTTGAACCTTTTGTCTGAAAAACCACAGGATCAGTACAAAAATGATAATGTAGTTTTATAATCTGTCCACTTTAAATTTCTGGCTAAACTGGCTAAAACCATGTTGTTTGAAATCTCATCACAGGAGCGCACCCCCAGTGCAGCCTCCTCAACGTTATGTTGGAACCTTGCCTCACACTAGATGCCGCTTAGTGTTTTTTGTTTGTTTGTTTACTTAATTCTGGCATTTTTTTCCCATTTGGCACAAAGATAATCTTGATCTGCTTTGAATATTACTGAATTATTTACATTTGTATCCCATTTTTTACCCCAGACTGGAACCAGACTTCTTATGGAGCCCTCCCTCCGAAGGATATGGATCAATCGGACATGATCCTTCCCATAGTGCTTCAGCATCTCTGCCCGTCCTACATTTCCTTCTTTGGTCTGGGAGCAGTGTCGGCTGCGGTCATGTCGTCAGCAGACTCTTCCATTCTCTCCGCCAGCTCCATGTTCGCCAGGAACATCTATCAGCTCGCTTTTCGGCAATCGGTAAGACTGCCAACAATAACACAAACAAATATCTGCACAGTTTAAATTAGTTGTTGCAAACATCAGTCAAATCATCGACAAATCAATTCCAATCTCATCCCAGTGGTTTGCAAATGTGTGAGATGATTGTTACTGATGAACATGCAAAACAGAGACACAAAAGGAGTGGGAAGTTATATTATTTTAAAATGACAGTGGTAATTATATTCTATAAACCACTGATGACATGAAATATATACCTTTGACCAAACACTGACAGTCCCAGGAGAACCAAAAGTCCTGATGACGGATCCCCTGACTTCTATTAACCCAACAGCAGGTGGAAATGTCCGGTTAACTACTGCACAGATTGTTTCACTGGATACAAACATTATTGTCTTCGTCTGGATAATTGTTTACAAACCTGGTGATGCTCTGACCTTTTTTCTAGGACCATCATCAGTTCAAATTGTTACAAAATGCTTCCAAAAAAGAATTCCTTTCAGTCTGAGCTAACACCCTATGCTAAGACGGCCGTCATTACACCTGCTATCTTATCTGCAGTCTTGTTATAATCTGACATTTCTTTACCTTTAATTCTCAATCTTTTCTTGTCTTTATTCTATGTTTTCCTTTCTTCTCTCTATCTGCTCTGCTCCAGGCCTCAGATAATGAGATTGTTTGGGTGATGCGCTGCACCATCTTTGTATTCGGTGCTCTTGCCACTGCTATGGCCTTGCTAACAGGATCAGTGTACGGCCTGTGGTACCTGAGCTCCGACTTGGTCTACATCATCATCTTTCCCCAACTTCTCAGTGTGTTATTTGTCAAAGGCACCAATACCTATGGCTCTGTGGCTGGCTATGTCTTTGGTCTTCTGCTGCGTATTGGTGGAGGGGAGCCCTACCTCAAACTGCCTCCGTTCATCTACTATCCCGGTTGGGTGACCCAGGAGAAGATCCACCACGTCACTGGGGACGTAGAGTACTTCGTCCAGCAGAGGTTTCCCTTCAAGACAATGTCCATGCTGGCCTCCTTCCTGGCAAATGTTGCCTTTTCTTACATGACGAAGTACCTATTCGAAAGTGGTATGTGGTCACATAAGTATGACTTCCTGGATGCCGTTGTGTCCAAGCATAGCGACGAGATCATGGACAAAGACACGCTGGTGAGCAACCATGATAACATAATTCTCTCAGAGATAACGCCCGTCAGGCAGTCCCTGGGTGCGTCACTGGCTGGGACATTCATCAACTCTGAGATCCTCAGTGATGATGGGGCGTCCAGTCCAGAGGAATTGGTAATAAAAAACGACTAGGCAACAAAGGCACAAAGGAAACTAAAACCAAGGAATTTTAAGAAGAGGGAATAATGTACGACGCATCAACATTCTTCAGGAAACTACTGCCGCACTGGAAGCCGAATCAACAGAAATCTGCTGTGGCTTCCGAGTGACTCCAAAAGTTTGTTTTATGCTGATTAAACGGTGCCTCCTTCTTTTTTAAGATACCTTGCCTAAACCCAGAAAGTTGACTGTCAATCAGCCGTGTCAAGCATACCATACTTGTTCTTTTTTTAACTCATAACTCTGTGAATTTACAATCATGAAAACCTTTTTAATTTAAGCGCTAAGACAGTGATCTGAGTAACTAGGGTTAAACAAAGAGTGACCGCAGTGGACGTCTACAAGAACTAGCTGTGGGCAACGAGAATAGTGCAATATAGCTAACCGAGGAATTATGTCTACAAAGCAGTGTATGTGCGTGTGTGTGTGTGCGCGTGTGCGTGCGCGTGTGCGTGCGCGTGTGCGTGCGTGTGTGCGTGTGTGTGTGCGTGTGTGTGTGTGTGTGTGTGTGTGTGTGTGTGTGTGTGTGTGAGTGTGCGTGCGTGTGTGCGTGTGTGTGTGCGTGTGTGTGTGTGTATGTGTGTGTGTGTGTGTGTGCAACAACAGAAACTTTACAGACTTTGAGTTTTAAGTTTGCGTAGAGTACATTTTTTAATAGAGCAATAATATGTGTAGGGTCCATGTTGTATTGATAGAAACATTGCACTGAATTTGCAAGTTACTGTTATTTTGTTTACTTGAAGCCCAAAATATATTTCTTATTCATGTTTTATGTTCACCTAGATCTTACTCCTCCTGTCACTCGATAATTCCAAACATTAAATGTCAGATTAAGAACCACCAATATCACCGAACCCTGGACCCACCAAACGAAAGATCGCTATTGGCTAAATCGGCAGATTTCTTTCATATCCAATATAAACCTGAATTCTTGAACAAACAAAAACATTGACAAAAAAAAGCACACACTGTGTTCATTTTCATTTATATATATACCCAACAGATGGCTGGAAAGTATAATAATGAAAATGATTGGCACTAATAAGCAGTATGCGTCGTTGATAGAGTTTTAAAGGTCTTATATCGTCCTTAAAAATTATTAGAAATTCTAGTTTGACATTGTATGTGTTTGTATGTGTGCCTAGGATGATTTGCTCATCTCAAACCTGTATTGACCCTCCGGCCACAGCAGGTTAGTGGAGACAGGAAATGTTTGTTCCTCCCGGGATGGTGTCAGTAGCAACGGTCATTATTGATCCCTTCCTAAGTCGATAAGCCTTCAGGACATTTGATTAATTCTGCAAAGTGGTTAAAAACTGCGGGTTTTATTGGTTTGTTTGACAGTGTGTCTTACACAGTGGAAATGGTTGAAGCATTTTAACTGATTGAGCAACTCCACGTATAAATTCTCCTACGTCAGTCCTCACGTTTTCCTTGGTCTGTCTTTTTTAAACTACCAGGCACACTCTGTTGTTGTCACTTCATACAGTGATTTTTGTCATTGTTATGTGTTACTTATGTCTCGATGACTTCTCTCTGCATATCTCTTCTCAGAATTGTTGTCTGTTGGTGTCTTTTGGAATCTATGGACTCGCCTTAATTCAAAAGTTAACCGAGAAAAACGACAGGTTGGGTACGCTGGGAAAAGTGTCCACTTTTATGGAAATCTTTTTTTTTGTTAAAGGATATGTCCAGAGAAATTCTGTATTTTACTTATTGTCAACAATTAAGACCAAAGCCAACAATCTCTATTCTTCCCTACTCAATCTATAGCTTTCAACCACAAATCGGGTCATAAATATAAATAGTTTTTTATTTAAAAAGCTGAGCAAATTCCTTACACAGCTAGGCACTGTAGTTTCTTTGAAATGTTATGATTATTTGATTAAATTGTGCATTTGTTGGAGGACTATTTTCAGGTGCAAGACTGATACACAGTAGTACGTCCTATTGGGTATTTTGGGCAGCAGAACAATGAATGTGCATCTGACTCAAATTAAACTACAGATCTAAATGAAAGAAATGTCATAGAGTGAAAAATGGTGTCTCACTGATGTTTTCAGTAGTTTTTTGGACAACAATGGAGCTTTATTGCACACAGGAAAAAGCTAAATCAGGATTTGACTGCTCAGACCATCTTTGATGCTCAATTCATTGTTGATTTTGGTCTTTTCAAGGGATTTAGTGACAATACAAATCATCTATAGTAACACCAACCCTATCCTATCAGGTGGCAGAAGGCCTTTCAGTTAGTCTTTAGAGTGAAGGGGACTTGATCCCTAAATGCAGCCAGATCTTCAGAGGGACAGTAAGACACATTCACGTTCAACCTGATCCTATCTCATCTCTTAAACATAAATAACAGTTGCAGGATTTATGATATACCACCAATACGACGTCAGCTTCAAACTGAATGGGGTGACTGCTGGTCTGATGCTATGCAAAGTATCAGCCAATCTCATTGGACTTAATGTGAATGTAAACGTTCCACCTCATCAGATAAGCCTCATAACAAGTGTGTCGTAGATAGGGTTCAATGACAAACCTTAACACACACAGAAAATAATCAACGTCAGTCGTCAAACTGGCACATTTGTGGCTATATGTCGTAATTGCGATGATACTGTATTTTTGTGTGATAAATGTATATACCAAAAAAAAGCATACGAGCAAATAAGTCTACTTTTAAATGCAGCGTTTAAAAACGATGTTTGTTGACTGTAAATTAACAGCTATTTATTTATTCATGCAGTGTCTATAAGAGTATAGTTGTATGTGAGGTCAGTTGAATAAATTATATAATTTAGCACTGTCACGATTTGGTTGTCTTTCTGCATTACCACATACTTGCATTAGAGCATTCAACAATGTGCATGTGTTCATATATGTCAACTCATTTTTTTTTTTTATTCCCTGCTATTTGAAAAGATTTCGAAAACAATTGATAAACTGTGTGAGTGTGTGTGTGCACGCGTGTTGTGTGACTGTTGGAGGGTTTAATCTAGATTCTTGAGGTTGCCTGCCCACTCGATGCATCAATCAAAACGCTCACCGCAGAATCATATAACTGCCGAAACTGTCAATCTCTCTTACACACACACACACACACACACACACACACACACACACACACACACACACACACACACACACACACACACACACACACACACAAACTCCTCAGACCCTACCATGACCACAACAGTCTGATCGCAGGCTGATGGAATAAACCTTTAAATGGTCTTTTTCCTTAAAGAAGAAATAACAAAAGGAACAATTAAATCCTTCTTTTAAAATGTTTGGTTTTGAAGTTTACTGTACCTGATGTAGCCAATGTATTATGAGGTTCAAACTAGAGCCTGGGAATAATTACACATATTACAGGTTCAGCGGTGTTGAATAAAAACCGGTCTAGTAGGTCATCACTTTAAATGAAAGCATGGCATCTAAAGTTGCATTTGGTTATTTGTACCTTCTTCATTCCCATCTCTCTCCCTTTTTAATGAGGATTTCTATATTTGACAAGTCTCCATTAGTGCTTCTAGATGCCTATTGTACTGTAAAGACTCACATAAGAGTCTATAAAAAAGCTTGTTTTATTTCTATCTCAACTTACTTACTAATGATATGGTTCATTGAGTCATGGTTCCATTTAGAGCCACTTCCATCTCAATAGCTTATGTGCATTTCAGTCTCGCTAAACGTAATTGAGTCGTGTTTCAATCTCTAAAGCTGATATAAGTGGTTTCTAAAGAAGAGAGTATATTCATGTGTAGATGGGACACCTCTCACTGTCACCGCTTCAACTTGTGGGAATCATGTATGTGCCTTCCACGCCTCCAGACCTAGATCTAACATCAAGTTATTATTATGTCCTTAGAGAGAAGATTGAGGCACTGTGAGCACATCATTATTAATATGAGTGTCTATGAAACCTGCCACAATGGCAGATGATTAACCTGCAGATGACAGACATGAGATTGCACTCATATCAAATAAATGATATGCACCATGTTTAAAGTATGTTATCATCCCAGAAAAACACTCAATGGAAAATAGTCCAGTCAATTGTTAATACAAATGGAAAGAAAAGCTTACAGCGATACCAAACATGATATTTTGAACTGATGATAAAATGATTCCTGATCTTTTTCACACAACTTGCTCTTATATTTAACAAGGTTACATTTGTATGACTCTCTTAATCAGGATACTGCTGGAAGATAAGAATGCAGGGTTGTTGGTTGTTCCTAGAGTTTTTAAAAGTACAATGGGAGCCAGAGCCTTTTCTTATCAAGCTCCACTTTTGTGGAATCAGCTTCCAGTTTGTGTTCGGGCGGCAGACACCCTATCCGTTTTTCAGAGTGCGCTTAAGACCTTCCTTTTTGATAAAGCTTATAGTTAGGGCTGATTAGATTCAGCCCCTAGTTTTGCTGATATAGGCTTAGTTTGTCGGGGGACATCTTACTTCTTCCTTCTCTCTGTCTGTACCTGTGTACTCTCATGCTCCGAATAACCCAGCTTCCCCAAATGTCTTTCTTTTTGGTGTCTATATACGCTGGGATCCGGAGTCATGGATGATCCTGTTGCTGTGGTTCTGAGTCCTGGANTGCTGATATAGGCTTAGTTTGTCGGGGGACATCTTACTTCTTCCTTCTCTCTGTCTGTACCTGTGTACTCTCATGCTCCGAATAACCCAGCTTCCCCAAATTTCTTTTTGGTGTCTATCTACGCCGGGATCCTGAGTCGTGGCTGATCCTGTTGCTGTGGTCCTGTGTCCTGGATCCTGTGCACTGGATCCTGCATTCCAGGACACAGGACCACAGCAACAGGATCAGCCACGACTCAGGATCCCGGCGTAGATAGACACCAAAAAGAAATTTGNCACACACACACACACACACACACACACACACACACACACACACACATATGGATTCATAGCCATGTTTACTATCCTGTATGTCTGTAATGTGGCTTCAAGGCTGCACCTCTTTCCCCCACTCAACATTCATCTTCAAGGCATTAACTAAATCACTCTGAAGGACCCCCCCCCCCTCGCTCCTTAAACTGTAGGCTAATATAATTTGTTCATCGAAGGTTGTGTGGGTTCAGCTGATTACGTTAGCATTGCTGTGACGAGAGTCAGCTCTTGTCAGCTCTTCAACAAGGAGAGAAGCTGGCTTTGGGCATTCAGGCTTTAGGAGATGGAGATATACATTGTAGAGCAAGAGGGGAAACAGAAGTGGATTGTCATTGTTTCTTTATTGTGACTAACTTTACATGATTAAATATAAGATAAATACCTAACTGGGGATAATTAGTTTTTATGTTACACTTTAACTTTATTGGTGTAAGAAGATAACTGTTCCTTTCGCATAACATTGTGCTCATTAGACTGATTAATTGTGAAAAATGTGACATGTGCATAGAATGTGACGTTTGT